TCCGAACACCAACGCACCAGACCACTGCACCACACGCCTCCCAACAAGTCATTGTACAGTTTATCAACGACAAGTTTTTCTTAATTTTTGTATTGAAGGCCTGTTGGATTTAATCAGCTCGCTTAGCACTGCCAGAAGCCCAGCCTGAAAGGTATTTTGTTGCTCCACCTCGATTCCTGGGCCTTGTGTGAATGCAGCAGCCCTTCGTCGTGCATCTCCTTGGCACGCAGGTCCTCATTCTCCTTGCTGACCATGGGACGGCGGTCCATCGCCATGATGGTGTCAAGGAAGCTGTCATCGCGTGCCCACTTTCCTAAGGTGAAATATGCAAGATACAAGATCAGTTTAATCGCAACAACGAGGCAAAATGTTGATTAATAGTCCAGTTTACTCTGAGATAGAAGATCAAACCGTTTTCATGTAATCCTTTTATTTATACATCACATATACTGAGGTAGCTGGGCCAATCAAGCTTGGACTGAAATATCGAAATGACATCTCTCTTTGATATTGACTACAATTATTGCTACAATGCATCAATTCATTATCAAGCAAATGACTTGTGCATGAACTCTAAGCAGCGGTGATGGAATACATATTTCGATTTACTTTTACTTATTAATAGTTATATCACCTTCTTCTTCTTTCAAGGCCAGAGTAGTTACAGTGTAAGTGGATTGACATCTAACATAACATGGCTGAGTACAATTATAACAATCAATAAAAAAAAGGAAAAATAAATAGAATTTCAATTACATTTCTACTTAAATGTGCAAAAATATTAGAACATCAGTCTTTGTGGCATGCAGGTAATCAACTGTTTAAGCTTTTACCATTAACATGTAGAATGAATGTTGCAAATTACTTGAAATTATAGAAACTAATGTATTGTTAGAGGTAAGAATACAGAGGTAGCATTATGTCCAGCTAGCATCCTAATTGCTAACGTTATATTATCGTTTTATCCCGGAGGGGAAAACTAGTTTCTAATCCTGAGAGAAACACCTCGCCTGAAACACACGATTAGTGCCATGAGTTAGTGAAGCAAATTACAGAACATTGCACACTTATTCACAAGTCAAAACGTGTTCATAGCGGGCATGGCTGAGAATAGCTAGCTAGCTAGATGTTGTTAGCCAGCTTGGACCTATGATAGCAAGTTCTAGCATGGCTAGCTCGATCTACTGAGCAAATAAAAGTACATCTAAGACCAGTATTGTGCAGATTAAAACAGTGCAGTGCATGTATTTTATTTTACCTTGGTAGTCGTCCCGACATGACTTTGCCAGGTCTGCTAACTTTGCAGAGCCACAGAAACTGCATTCAGTAGAAGCTTCTGAATGCGGCGCTTCGCGTCCTCCGAGTAAATCGGCAGAAGCGCCGAGACATCCTCATCAATTCCACCGCTCCGATGATTTATTTACTGTTGCTATAATAACTGCTTTCACAAAAGTAATCTCTTCGGGTACGCTGCCCGAAGCGAGCAAATACAATGGCCGCTTCCAAAAAAAAAATTCAGAGTCAAACGGGCGTGGTTTGCATTCCGCACAGCCAATCAGACGTACGAACTATTTTCTCCCACGACAGTCCCTGCTCTCTAGCAGGGACTGAAAAGCGGGTCGGACAAACTAATTTGAGCTACTTTAGTTCCTGGGGCTTTTTGGTGTGAACGCAAATATATCGTAGTTCTGATGAACTATTGTGGGAAAAGTACACCAAAGTACTCCGGTGTGAACGCACCTTTTAACCTATGTTCCAGTGACGTGCGGTGAGGTTCATGGCTGGTGAGGCACTGAGTCAGATTTACAAATATTATATTTTGACCTTAATCGAAATATTCGGTTATTTTCAAAAGCTTTTTTAGTCTGATGCTTCGATTCATTTTAAACAGACTGTTCAACAAAAGGATACCCAAAATCTAAATATTGGATTGTTCTTTCTTAGTAAGATCCCATTTTCATTACAAATGTGGTCTTACCTTGACTTGAAGATGAAGTCCATGCTATCCTTCTGGACAACAATCTCTATTACTTTTTTGTAAAAGTCCTCCTTATCTTCCTGTAGTTTCAAAAGTCTAGTTTGTTGTTACGTCTACCGTCTCTGCGTAGAATTACAGTAGCAACAAGAACCTGTGGGCTCACGTGCGCCCCCTTCAGTGCGGCAGAGGTTATGGCTGCCTCCCCTGGTGCATTTTCATTGCCGTTGATACCAGCGAGCCTAAATATCATATATACGTGAAATAAGTTATTTAGAGACTATGGATGGCGAGGATAAATGTAATAAAGGGATCTACAAACATTACATTGGTGACCTACAGTGAGATGGTAACAGGCATGCGCTTAGGGCCCGCTTTCCAGCCAGTTTCTGTGGGGTGACGCATTCTGAGGTGAGGCAGATCTCATCTGTGCCTCAACTCAGCCCACAGTAAATGGCTTGAGCGCGCTCACAAAATAAGTGCCCGCGCTAAATTAGTGCCCGCGCTCCAGCAAGTTACTGTGGGCTTACGAGAGGCAGAGCACGCCCCTGCCTCACTTGTCATCGCTCCCGTAGCGGAGCTCGGCAAATTTGCTGATTTTGACTATAAAAAGCGATTAGAATCATACATAAATCACACTTACAACACAGATCAGTGGAGACATTTTATTATTATTACTATTTCGTTTTTCTTTAGTTGTTTTTCCGTTACATTGGAGTATGACAGGTGAGGCTCTGCCTCCCCTGCCTCCACTGACTGCACGTCACTGCTATGTTCTGTGACCCATTTGAAAACATTAGGTTTGTGTCGGGATGAAACAGGTCTGAAATAGTTGTGTTTTTGGTGAGGTTTGTAGTATCACCAATGTTAGGTCTGTGATACATTTGGTGTGTTGCACAAGTAACGCATGATTTCCCCTACATTGGGTATGACGGTGACATCATATCTCCTGCAGTCGTCCCGAAATTGAGATGCAGAGAACTTCCTCCTCAAAGCCACTGTGATGCCTGCACACAACAACAATACGAAACACAATCTGAAAGGATAAGATCGATTATATTTGAGGTTTTTCTGCTTAACATATCAATGAAAAGCCCAAACCAATAATACATGCATCTACAAACACATCCTTGTAGCCGAGCCTTTGAGGACTCCAGTGTTTTCTGAATCTATTGGTTTATATTATAATTGGTTTATATAAAATGCAACCTGTGGAGGAAACTTCTGTGTAGTAATGCATGGAGTCACCGACTCAGGAAGGAGACACGGTGAGAGTTGGAGCTTTGATGTCAAACACTGATGGGTTTATTCAGAGTATTCGGCCGGAGGATTCACATCACAAATCAAAGAGTCAGAGGTTCTGACCACACGGTAGAGTTGCCACGTCAATTCTGAAGAACCTCTCTCTATGCTAGACCTTTTAACAGGTTCACAGAGAGAAATCAACATCTCTGAAGGAGTAGACTAAACACTGAATCATCTGCGTCCGACGCTCATGGCCTCAAGGATTTCACATCCTAGAGCCCACAAACACAGATAAAGAAGTGCCTCAGTGTTCCCACAACAATTACCCTACGTGCCAGTCAAGTTGACCGGTCACACACTGGTGACCGGTCAAGTTGACCGGTCACACACTGGTGACCGGTCAAGTTGACCGGTCACACACTGGTGACAACAACACATATGGCACCAAGGCCTTTCCTTAAAGGAGATAACACATGTCAGAGTAAAAGGTTAGATATCTAGAAGAATTATTCCTTAACACAACCCTTATTGCTGAAGAGGCTCGTCCCTCACGACAAATAATGTATTCTCTCTTAATTTGCAAGCATATGATAATATTTATTAAAACAAATTAAATACATTTATAAAAAAACAAACATTTATGATCTACGCACAGCATATCTCATTAACGTTATATAAAATATATGAAAATATAAAAACAGGCATAACGACGGAGGTGCAGAACACTTAATCTAGTTCTCTGTGGCAATCTACAGTACAGGGTGCAGTGACCTGCCAGTATCAGTCTTCAAGGTATCACAAGTTAAATATTACAGTGTGGACAGCGTTTGACCTGTAATATTTTTCTAAAAATACACGTATACTTTATGAAAGGATCACTTCTAAGTGCCTCACTGACATTGCGAACAAACACCTGCAGCTTTAAAGCTACACTGAAATGTTCAACAGGCATATGAGAGATCTAATAAACAAATCACAAAACAAATATGTTGTTTTGTTTAAAGGAGTGTTACGCCTGTTCTGAGATGATCTGGACCAGGACATAGAAGTTGTTTCTTTGGAAACACTGGAACAATTTCTGCATTAAAGAAAAAGTTCCTTTTGGAACGCTAACTTGCTTTCTTGTCGAGAGGTAAATTAAGATTGAAACCACTATCATGTCTGTAAAGTTAGCTTAGCGTAGCACAAAAGCTGGGAACATGTGGAGAAAACTAGCCTGTGTCTCTCTGAACCTTATTTCTTGTGTAAATTATATTTAATTTGTTTACTATTTCTTGTTTGGTTAACTCACAGTATTACTGGAACTATATCATCACATAAGCCCCCATAACATTACAATTTGTTATTCTACTCAATTATATTCGACACTGTTTTGTAAACAAACATTCTGTTCTGGTGGGTTGTTTTTAGCGACCTTTGGAAATCCCAATTGGATTTGATTTTCCACCTCATTTCCAGTTTGTACGCTAAACTTAGGTTACTGGCTGCAAGTTTATATTTTGCGAACTCAAGACTGAGTGTCTGAGAGTATCAATCTCCATCAATGTCTCTTGCCAAGAAAGCAAATAAGCCAATTTCCTAAATGTCAAACTATTCTGTTAACAATGTTAAAGCAACACAAAGACACACACTGCAAACATCCATGAAGGCAACGGTTCTACATCGAGTAAACTTTAAACACTTAATTAAAAAAAGGCACGTTAATGTAAGTTTACTGAAATTGTTAGAACTCAGTTCAAAGTTTATCTGCCTACTTCACTTCATACCTGCCCTCACTTTGTCATTTCTGCTGGTAGAACGGACTGTCGAAGCCGCTGTCCTGCTGCCGTTGTCTCAGCTCAGAGAACTGAGGCCGGGGACGGCCCCCCCGCTGCTCCTCGCCCTCGGAGCCAGGCGTGGGCTCCCGGTGTGTGCTGAGCTTTGCATGCTGAATGCTCAAAGTCTGGGTGTGAGGTGTCTTTTTGGCAATTTCATTATAGACAGTCAGGTCAGAAACGTTCGGGGTGAGTCTACCAAACTCTCCCAAGTGACAGGCTGACGTAGCAGAGACAGAAAAAGGCTTCACCTGCTCCACTTTCCTCCCTGAGTAAGAGAGTGTGGAGGCCTGGAAGCCTGCGTCCGAGTCACTGCTGCTCATGCTCCAGTCCGTCCTCCTCTCGTCTCTGACAGGAGCCTCCTGGATGAGGAGCGGTTGGCTCTGTCGCTCTGAGTCAAGGCGGTTGACTCCCTGCAGGCAGAGCTCTCTGTTTTTACTCCTCACAGACGCATCGACAAAATCCCCCTGGCATGAATTTGTCTGATGTGAAGGTTTGTAAGAGCGGAGATGTGCGTTACCAGTAGTTTTCAGTCTTGCATCTACTGCCGCTGCCTCCTTCTCAGTGGCAGGAAGGTCTTTGTGACTCGAAGGTTTCGTCCTCGGTGTGGCGACTTGTTTCTGCTCTGAAGTCTTTTCCCTGTGCGATCTCTCTGGCCTGATGTCAGGGAGCTCAGGGAGAGTCGACGGGTTCTTACTGAAACCTGCATTTCTACCTGTGAACACAGCCGTCAAACAACCAGTCAATACAAACCACATATTCCCAGCACATTGACAATTGAAAACCTAAAAGGAGACACCTTGAATCAAGCAGTTTCTACTCGACAGCACTCACTTTGTAAGCTGTAGTTCTTTGAAGATTTAATTCTGACAGGCGTCTCCAGTACTTTAGCCATGGCTGCCAGCTTGCTAGCAGCATTCATTATTTTCTTCTCAGCCCTGCAGAGGACAGGAAGATCAATACAATTAGCCGGAGGAGTCCTGAGGAAGCAAGCAAACAAGTTTAGGACATTACGGTCTCTTGCCCTGTATTCTTTCCCCCGTCCTCCAGTAACTCCTGCAGACAGGTCAGATAATAGCGCCGCATCCTCCTGGCGGTGTCCTGCCTCTCCCTCTGCACCTCCACGCGGATCATCTCTGCTGCTCGCTCTTGACTCTCCTGGAGGTAACGCAGCATGTCTCCTGCGGTAAAACACAGTTATGATCTGTCCTTTTCACTAGTTACATTTACATGAAAATAACTGATCAGATTTACAAGTGAAGACATAAATGAATATTATGGTACAGGACATCATAGTGTCTAGTTTAGTCTTCTTCCTCAGTCCCTCCAGGGCAGTTTTATATTGAAATCTGGTGTGCCTGAATACAGAATATTTTAAATGTGCACACAATAAACACATCCATTACCAACCTCTGATCTTTTCTACAGTCGTCACGTATTGCTGCTCCATCTCTTCCAGGCCTTGCGTATTTTGTTGGTGATCAGAACTCCTGCAAGCAAGAAAAAACCATATTCTTCCATGATTTAATCTAAATTAAATGTCAACCTGATCTTTGGTGTATTTTCAGCTATTTTCAGCTATTTGAAAGATTTCCCCCAAAAACAAAGACAAGAAACCCTAAAGACTTTGCTGCTTTCTAGCAATTTGCCCTTACTTTTAATAGTCCAAGGGTTAATTACTATTTGGGATGGGTCAAATGTCTGGAGGGACTTGATTTTACTATTACTAGAGTAAAAAGTCCAGCTTATGCTTGGCATCATTAAGATGACAGGTAATGTGAGATGCTTGGTCCAAAAATCTAAAACCTTGTGTTGGGTGGAATGTTAATCCCAAATGCAAAATGCATGAGCAAAAGCACTTAAGATAGGGGACAACATTTGATATAAAAAATATATACATTGTGTGGAGGAAACTTCTGTGTAGTAATGCATGGAGTCACCGACTCAGGAAGGAGACACGGTGAGAGTTGGAGCTTTGATGTCAAACACTGATGGGTTTATTCAGAGTATTCGGCCGGAGGATTCACATCACAAATCAAAGAGTCAGAGGTTCTGACCACACGGTAGAGTTGCCACGTCAATTCTGAAGAACCTCTCTCTATGCTAGACCTTTTAACAGGTTCACAGAGAGAAATCAACATCTCTGAAGGAGTAGACTAAACACTGAGTCACCTGCGTCCGACGCTCATGGCCTCAAGGATTTCACATCCTAGAGCCCACAAACACCGATAAAGAAGTGCCTCAGTGTTCCCACAACAATTACCCTTCGTGCCAGTCAAGTTGACCGGTCACACACTGGTGACAACAACACATATGGCACCAAGGCCTTTCCTTAAAGGAGATAACACATGTCAGAGTAAAAGGTTAGATATCTAGAAGAATTATTCCTTAACAGTTCCTCTCTTTTTATCATTTTTGATAACCTTAAAACATTAGTCTAATAATTCTGGTCAATACTTAAATCAATAGGCGTCTTCAGATTCGAGTGTGGTCTCACCTTACATTCAATTACATCACAAAGTAGAGTAAGATTGAAACATTCAATCACAATGATTGATACAGGCAATCATAATAGGAACAATTATCTCTCATCAGTGTTTGGAGCATCTTTTGTCAATAAATACAATAATGAACACACATAAAAACACAGATACATAATAGCAAAATATTTGTTTTAACCTAATATCTTTTATCATTTAAACCATTAGTTAATGTCATTTATCAAACTATAAAATCAAAACCAGAAACAGCTTAAAGATTTGCTTTAAGGCAATCACTAGTCAAAAGCATTTAAAACTTAGGATCATAAGAGATCCAGCTAAGGCATAAAATTCACAGTGGTGATTTGATCAATCTGTAATCGGCAAAGTTGCAGTGTCCTCAATTTTAGGATTACTTTACGTTTACTTCATTACGCTTTAGTCAAGAGTAAGGCACTTAGTCTTAGTAAAATCAATACATTCATTTTAGTCAAGTACATTGTTCAAAATCTGAAAAGGAAAAGTTAGGCAAATATTCAAAGACTTTTGTAAAAACCTGGAAAGGAAAGATTAAACATTCTTAAAACTTTAATTCATACATTTGTAAATGCTACAACTGATCTGTACCAAATTAAGTCTATCACTTATTCTTATTAGCCATACTTACCTGAAAATCTACTTATGGTACTTGGAAAGGGTTCTTCTGTGTTTATCTAATGTTGAATATAGAATATCAATTTCTTTAAATTATAATTCTCTAATTTGAGGATCAAATATGCTACATAATTGTTATATGAATTATTATAAATATTTGTTTTGGGCCAAAACTGAAATTAATCCAGTACTTGAAACACCATTTTAGGTCTGTCTGTGCATGGACAATACATTACAGAGTAGTGTTGTTAAGCCTGATTGCTGGATGATTAAGGATATTAACATTATCTGTTATAATATTAGAAATACCTTATTATTCAATACTTTATAATCTGAAAATATTTATTTATTAATTTTGTTTAGTGTGAAAGTGTAATCTGATTTTACAAAATATATTTATCACCACTATTTAACACATGTCTGGTCATTGGAAATATAAAAAACAATCATTAATTGTACATCTTTAAACATCTGGACATTCAATTCAAAGTTCATCTTTGTACGAGAGCTGGAAGAACATTTCCGTCAGTCTTCGTTCTCCTCCTCCCTTTATGACACCGAGTGTCTGGTGTGTAAAGGCATCCTGATACTGTAGATTAGCACTGAGGTGCTGATTGGCTCAAACTCTTCTTCATCAGAGTGCCATATTTCAACCCCCCAATTGCTCTGCTTTTGTGTGGCTCATTCAGTGAGCACTGTAGTTAATCCCCCAGTGAGACGGAGGCTCATCTGCCTGTATTCCTTCTGCTATCTGCTTGAGTACAACTGCGTATTCAGGTGTCCCCCCCGTGATAGGAGAGGTTAGGAAGACATCAAACTCCTCCAAGAAACATGGAACATTGTATTATAGAAGCCTCTGAAATCCTCGCTCGTCCTGCAGGGTTGTCTGCTAGAGCCCACCGAGCAGAAAGATGAAGAGAAGAACCCCCTCTTATCAGAAAGGTGAAGAGAAGCATCCCATCTCGAACGACCTCGTGCTTCCTTGCACGTGGCTGGGGGTGCTCTCTGCACCCGGAGAGTGTGACCCTCTCTCTCTGACCCTTGGCCTTGAGAGCTGTCCTATAGTTATTGGGTTAACACTTGATAGGGATGTTTTTCTGAGTGAAGACAACTCAAAGTAATGGATTAGCACATTATCATTTAATTACAAAAATAGGCCCCTCAGAATTATTTGGGAGCCTTCCTGACACATGCACATTATCATTTTGAAGGTTTGTGTTAGTCATTGAACATGCAAGAATCATATACTCATCAGTCCATAGCAGAGAAATGTTATTGTAAGTTAAAGGTGAGCTTTTCCCTGTGGATATAACCCCTTCTCAATGATTCTAAATGTATATTAATTCACCATTTACCTTTTGATAAAATATTAGTTTATCAGAAATATTTAGTCTCTACCATAAAACATAGGTTTGAGAAATAAATTACCCAATATAAAATCAATTACTCAATATAATTGACTCTTCCCTCCCTTTTCTTGCATATGGTACATATGAAATAATAACTTAGGAGTCTATTTAAACATGGTATAGTTTATAATCTATCAATCGAGAAGACTCAGTATCACCTGTGTGCAGCTTACAAAAAACCATTGTGAGAAACATATATTATGCAGGAAATTGATACATTTGTTGAAAAACAAAGCATATCTGATTTGGGAGGAAAAGTTTCATCCCTTTAACATCTGAGTTATTACTGATGGCATAGCATGAATGATACTGGGTGTCTGAGGGTGTCATTACTGAGAAATGTCAAACAAAATCAAAACCTTACATTTGAAAACAGGTTTGCATTCCTCCACTTAAGGTGACGTTATCATTGGAAACAATAAAAGCTAATTGTTTTGATGTAGAATCTATACATTGAATCGTTAGAGCAGAACATAATGGTTGTATTGTAGCCTGAGTTTTGTGCAGCCTTTAGTTTTACCAGGTGGAAACATTGTCTATATAATGTGAATACATGTAGAACTAGACATTAAGAGACCCCTGACATTAGGCCTATTTGAAACAATAGTAGGGGCTTTTACCAGCTCGCCAACTTACAGGCATCCTCTGCATAGCAGTATGAATAGCCTTAAAAACAACCCACTCTGCGGTAACGAGAGTCATGTATCTGAACCAAATGCCCTAAGTGAAGCCGTTAGTCTCATCTGACTGACCCAAGGGTTGGTGCTGGTGTGACAGGGAGGCTTCCAAGTGTTCATAGCAGATGTCATGCTTTCAGTTCATGGCTCAGTGGGTGGGAGCAGACCCATGTGAGACAGTATCAACGGCTGTAATGTTCAGTTTGAGGAGTGTCATTCTCTCTGGGAGCAGGAAATGGTGTCCATTCAGACCAGACCATTAATGTCATGTAGAGCAGCCATAGCATCTCTGTGACTGCACTCAGCCGGACTGCAGCAGGGCAGAACTGGGTGACTTTTAGTGAAGCCGTCCAAGGCCATAGACAAAATGGAACCACGTACTAACAAAAGGGACACAAGGTCATCAATGTCTCTCTTTACCTTTGGCCTAATTGTAAAACAAATTAGTGGAAGAAATGTGGAACACTAATCCATCATCATGTGACATTTAGAGTTAATTTAAATAATTACTTATGGGTTAAAGTCAAATTAACATTAACATTAGAACTAAAGTCAGTCAAAATTGGACTTGCACGGATCAGAATCTAATCAATACACCATTTTCCCAGCTCTGTAATGAAAAAGATATCAAGATTAGGTACATTACAGGAGTGTTAAAACATCCAAACATGCACACTTATCTTATTCTAGTAGAGATTAGAGGACAGGTCTAATGTTGTGAACAAAATGATCAAGTCAAGTTATTTTATTTATTTTATCTTATGTACCACATTTAATTTAATAATTAATCTTAAATTACTAATAACTTTAAAGAAGGCAACAATTTACAATGTGGATAAGGTGACTACTTATCCAAAGTGTGTGGGTGTGTGTGGGTGTGTGAACAGCTTGTCTGCCCAAGGTTAAAACATTTGGGACAGCAGTGAGAATGTTATGAGAAACAATTTGTTGCTTAGACTGAACTCGAAAGAAGCTGAGATTAGAACATTTGAAATAAATCAAAACACTTGTACATTAATTAAATACATTTGACATTTAGCTTGAGCTGGGTTCAATACTTTCTTTATGGTATTTAAATTGGGCTCAAGTAGAACCTTTACATGGATTTGGCTTGCAACACAAAGTGATACCGATCTCTGTCTGTTATGATTTGAAAGTCTCATGATTTAAAGTGTAGGGCTGTGAAGGAGAGGCCCTTGGAAATCTACTTTTTTTTTAACTGTAATTACTTATTGTAAAGAGATTGCAACATTATACTTTTTAAAGAATTGCTCAATTCATTTAACACATTTATTATGTACACTGTAATGAAAACGTCAACAAATATATTGATCCTGGCTTAACCAGCGACCTTTACTCTTTTGTTCATAAGCTCGGTTTCAGAAAACTTGTCAGTAGTTTAACAACTATTAGAATTGTAGTAATGTCTATGGAGACCAATTGGTTGATACGAGAAATCATTTGAAGCAGTTTAATAAAGAATGTTAAACTATATTTAAAACTGTAATTAAACTTCAACTTATATTAATTATCTGATTCCAGTGGCCAGTTGGAACAGATAATCAACAAAGTTTCCATTTTGCAGCAACAGCGCAAAATGTTTCAACAATAATTTGTATTATGTCTGAGTCTAGTTCTGTCTTATCAGTTTTGTGTCGGAATGTGTTCAATACATTACGTTTTTTTTTTCATTATTACCATACAATACATAGATTTAAGAATAAATGAAACAAATAATACAACATTGACCTAAAACAGCGGACAGATTTTGCCACCCTGACCTCCTCAGGCAGGTTTTTTTTACGACCAGCAGTGATGCCTCTGAGGGTCTCAGGGTGCAGGACGGGGCATAGGGTTTATAAAAGGTCACAAACATATCTTAACATACCAGCAATACAATTTAAGAATGTATTCTTAAAAGTAATATAATCTTATTTTCTTCTTACACCTACAGCGCACACCCTGAACAGTGTGCTTCTTGTTTACATTTCCTCTGCACACTCAGATGCAGGACATAAAAACACTCTTTTGCTATTTATTTTCATTTTGCAGCACATCTATACTACCAGAATTTTGCAAAACACTATATATTATTTATTTTTCTCAAGTCATTTACTTTTGGTGAGTTAACTAAAGCTTAGTTTATTTTACCCTGGCTATGGACTGATTCATTATTAGTTGTTACAAAACATGCACAAGACGGCGGTTAGACAAACCAATATAGACCCCTGATACAAACAATCAGACAAACATGATGAACTCGTAATAAACACCAGTGCGACAGCAAAGTTCATCCAGCTCAATTTAGTCCGGATTAAAGAGGTTTCAGAGGGGGTAGGGAATTATCTCTCCCTTTATGGGGAACTCTCAGTGGGGCACCTTGACTCGTGCGCCCACCCTTGTATACAAGTGCTTAGATCGGTGCCTGAAGACCGTCCAAGAGCAATAACTAGCTTATCCTCTTGCGACCCCACTATCCCTGTTCTAGTGGTGCTATGCCCCCCCGATCTGGAGCACATAGACTTTTTTCTCCTCTACCCTTTCTATCTGAAACCACCCAGTTAACTGTAGTCCTACTCGACCAGCCTATACACCTCCCATCATGTTCATCACAACGATGAAACACAGTTTTGCTCTACACTTGCATACCACTGCCCACCCATGATCAATTAGCCTATAATTTTATGTATGCACCCCGGACCGACACCAGCTCCTCCAGCAATGTAGGGAGCCTGTCGCATCAGGTAATGCACGCACCTCGCACCGGCCAGCACGTCGTAAACGGCCACAAGCCACGAGAGTGCTTTTAAACCGTCTCGTTTGTAATAGAGACGGCGGTGGTGTGAGATAAAGTTATAGACAAAAGCTGTGATTTTCTCCCTCTGAGTTCACTTCACCAGCTCATGCAGATACGGGGAGGTATTTTATACACATTCCTGAACTGAAGATAAGAAACAATAAAAACACTAACCCTGAGGATTCTTTGGCTCTCTTCACCTCCTCCAGCTGCTGCCGATGTTCCTCCTTCATGGTTTTCAAGCTGCTTTCATGCTCATCTGCAACACAAAAGGTATGATAGTTTGTCAAATATTAACCCCCACAATCCTGAGTCTCTACCGCCGTGAAAGTGGATTGAATAAGATGATAAACAAGGAGAGAAAGTTTTGTTTAGCACTGATTTACACATGCAACACCTCCAGGTTAAACCCGTTTACTGCAGTTTTATTATTCTGCTAATAATTGTAGAAAAGGACATTAAGTTCCAGCTGCAGAGACTGAAATCCACTGATTTATATTCATATCAGAAGTCATAATAACTATGGACGCACTGCTAATGGCAACCTATACTATAAATCCGCAAACTGAGCAGGGGGGGGGGCGTGCTTTGCTTAAACTGAGCTGTTTTTGTCTGCTGATTTATGAGGAGGGGCCCAGCTACTAGTCTCACACAAGCACAAATATCAAGTGGTGAGGGTCTAATGTTCTTGAAAAGCCTGTTTGCTAGGGTTGTGGTTGTCCCATGTAATAAGCAGGGCTAAAACTAGATTTGCAGAAAATGAAATGTATGTCTTCAAACCAACAGACCAATAACCAGAAATTAATACATTTAAACCTAAAACTGAGTTAATTTGCTAATTCTAAAGGTTGACGTACACAGAGACACAGGTCAAATGTACGTCACAAAAATAACCTGGGGCTTTCCTGCTGTGAGACTGAACTCCAAAGACTTAACATGACTTGAGAATTTAAATAAAACAAAGTCTTGAGTTTTGACCCAACTAAATCCCTGAACAATATATTTTACAGACACAGCTTTGAACACATATTTAAATACTATTAATTATTATTATTTGGTCAGAGCAATACAAAAAAGGCACTGTTTCTGTACATAGCTGCTTTATGCTGCTTTGACACTCACTTGTACAAATGTCACATATAAAGCCTAATCAAACACAAGGGAAGCCAAGAGAACTGTAAGTAGACACTGGAACAACACTGTGTGAAAAATACCAGACATTTGGTGTACATCACATCCCTATGTCCTCAAAGGGGAGGTGAAATTAAAGAGACGTAGAAGAAGAGGACACACTCACCATACATAGGTGTGTTGCGATACAGGCCTTCCAGTATTGACGATAACCTTGATATTTAAACTGTTGGGTTTATGATCCTAGTGATGCACAATTTTCAACCTGTGTTTTTCATCAAATAAGGACAAGATATAATCTTCTATAATCTTCTTCGTGAAATAAATTTGACTAAAATGACAAATTATTGGTTTTGGCTAGACTAGTTTGACTGAAATGTTCTATATAATCTGATGACTAAAAAAGACTCAACAGTTTTCATTGACAAAAAGTAGACTAAAATAATTAGTTTTCTTTGACTAAAATAAGACTAAAATGCTCAGACTTTTAGTCGACTAAAACTTGACTAAATAAAAACAGGATGAAGGTGACTAAATATGACTAAAACTAAAAAGGAAATTTAACACAGGACTAAGACTAAAACTAAATTAAAAAATAGCTGACGAAATTAACACTAGTGTGAACCCAAAATTCCTCACCAGAAAATCGGCCCTTTTAATGTTGGTTCCCCATAAGCCAATCTTCCTTTCATAGAAGGTTTGGCGGAGGACAGGGCCACCAGAAAGTACCACAGCTTCTTAGCTGCGGCTCCACAGCTCCTTGCATGTCCCCTAAAACACAAGCTCAGCTGTGTACTGACAGAATGGGTGGACAGGATACTGCGACTGGGTTACTCACTCCAGTTCTGCAGCCTCCCTCCTCCATTCAAGGGTGTAAGAGAGGCAAATCTATCATCCCAGGAGCAGATAGGTTTCCTTTCAACAGAAATTCAGGCCCTGTTGCAAAAACAGGCTGTGTCTGTTGTGCACTCTCAGGACAGAGAAAAGGGGCTTTACTCCATGTACTTCCTGGTTTCCAAGAAGACAGGAGAATTCAGACCCGTTCTGGATCTTCGCATCCTGAATCAGCACATTGTCTGCAAAAAGTTACATATGTTAACCATAAAACAATTACTGGAACTGGTGCAGCCGGGCGATTGGTTCACAACCATCGACCTGAGGGACGCTTACTTTCATGTCAATTTCTTTTGAGTTTTTGTGTTTTGCCTTCCAGGGGATAGCCTACGAGTACAACAGATTACCGTTCGGCTATTCCCTATCCCCACGCACGTTCAGCAAATGTGTGACCACAGTGCTCCAGCCGCTTCGCAACCATGGCATGAGGGTTTTATTTATCTCAACGACCTCATAGTCATGGCCAGGTCCAGGGAATGGGCAATGTTCCACACAGCCCAATTGATCTTACACCTAACCAAGTTGGGGGTTTGCGGTCAATTGGAAGAAGAGCAATCCCATACCTCACCAGCAAGTGGGGTATCTGGGGATTTTGCTCAATGCAGCCCCCATCGAGAGCGAGGTGTACACCCGATCGAGAAGGAGGGCAGGCTACGTGCCACTCTGTCAGAGGACAGACAGACGTGGTGCGAGGAAGGGAGTCTAGAGCCTCTGTCCTGTACATTGGGTTCTATTCTATCCTAGCTATAGCTACTGGTGGAAACGGGGCTTGCTCATGCCACAGTCAAGGTGTATGCAGCTGCCATCTCGTCCTGTCATGCGGGATTTGTCGGCGGACCAGTCTTTAGCCAACCGCTTATGAAGCGTTTTTTGCAGGGGATCAGGAGACAGCGCCCAGTGGTGCATGTCTCCACCCCGCAATGGGAACTCTCATTGGGGCTCGAGGCTTTGGTTACAGAACCGTTTGAGCCTCTGGAGCTCTCCTCCCTGTAGGCGCTATCATTGAGAGAGAGAGAGAAGCAAAAAGAAACAGCTTTGCTGCTTGCTTTGACTCCTGCCAAGAGAGTATGCGAACTGACCGCTCTATCGGTGCACCCGAGTTGCCTTCTGGTTCGTGGTGGCCGTAGCAGGGCGACACTCAGACCGAACCCCTCCTCTGTTCCCAAGAACCCTAGGAGTTCTTCCAGGTCGAGGGTTATACAGCTAGATGGCTTTAGTCGTCCACCTATGCACGGCGGCGTCTTGGTCTACGCCAGGCTCGTTCATAAGGTAAGTATCTCTTAGACATGTCTGGCTCCCTTTTCATCGTCGGTGCTTGCTGGGGCAACACAGGACTGGTGAAAGGAGGAGGGCTGTGGGTCAGTAAGCTGTATCTGACCCCCAGGGACATAATGCACTTACGTTGTCCCATGCTCCTTAGGGACCTGGGAAACGTGGGGCGCAGTAAGCCCCATATACAGGGCTGGAAGGCGGGGAGAGCCTTCCCCACTACGGTCCATGCACACTCTACACGAGGTAAGCGTGTGTGAGTGTGGGGGATATGGTGCACTTGCGTTCTCCCCATGCTCCTTAGGGACCTGGGAAACGTAGTGTGCAGTGTATAGTCACTTGCGCTGGCACCTGCATGGTGGAGCTATGGGCTTATTCAGACCAATTAGGCTCTACCCAGCCAAGTAAGCTGCGGCCCCGACTTCTCCACGGTCACAACCGGATCATAGGAAGTTGGAGTGCGGTGGCTGTTAACCAAAGGCCGGTCAGGGGCAGTGTGGTAAATCGCCAGAACGCCGACACCTCCTCGTCACTCCACCGCTCCCATGTTTTTTTTTTGTGTTGCCATAAATTAGTCTCTGTCCGTTGGTGCGCGGGGCTAATGCTAATAATGCTAATGCCACAAATACAATGGCGGCTTCACAAAACTTTTCAGAGTTTTACGGGGTGTGGTTTGCAATTCGCCCAGCCAATCAGAACTGGGGCACTTTTTCCCCCCAGGATAGTACCACCTCTCAGCAGGCACTAAAAATGGGGGTAAAAGTTCCCGGCACTAAGTACTCTTTTTGGTGTGAACGCAACATAAGGGGTACTAACGGAACTAAAGGGGAAAAGTACGGGGAAAAGTACTCCGGTGTGAACGCGGCTCTTGATGAGAAACTCTAAGAAATGATTGGGGAATCCCTCCGGAGTGGAGTCATGACGACTGGATCTGAATTATTTGTTTGTATTGGGTGGTTTGTGTTCCAGCTTTCGATCAGCAACTATATATCCATAATCCACCAGTTAAAGGAAATACAACTAATGTGTTGTGTTATATTAGCTGTACAATTTACCACATATGGTGTTCTTAGTTTCCATACCTCCTGTGTTTTACGAGCGACTTATCAAGTCTTGGCAAACGGCATAAAACACGATTAAACGTGATAGTATAAAACCATGATCGTATACCTACAACCTATAGAAATGCAAAACGGCGTCAGTTTAGACGTAATTCTGTCCTCCTGCTTACCGCATCATTTATGAGAAAACATTTCATAACATTAACACAACATATTCGAGGTGGTTTTAAATAACATATCCGTATTTATTTATTTCTCCAAGTTATGTTTTTGTGTGCACTGAGGAGTCTCAAACAGGCGTTTGTTTAATCATTTTTAATCAATGTTTGAAAATGAATTCTTCATATATGATAAATGAGAGGTAACATTTTATTTATGGTATTATTTCCACATATTTCTCTCCATTCTTCCTTCTGCCAACGGTGTCGCAGTTTCTCGTCTCTCCCGTTTTTGTGCTTAGTGCGTACGCATGGGTTAGAGTTTGTGTGGAGGACCGCACATTTTCCCGTCAAGTTAGTATTTTATCAATCGCAAACATTGCGTAGAAACTATAACTATAACATTTAATCTCAAATCAAACAGGCTTTTTACAGGAGGTTTTAAGTCAAATAGTAATAAACATATGAAATTACTGAAAAAGTAGAAGTACACATTTTAACCAATATGATAAAATCACAAGACTCCACTGGACATCAGAGGTGGCTGATATGTGGCAATGCATCAGGTGAAGACTTTACATTTTGATCTGGCCTGATGTGATCAAGTTAAATTTGTCCACGGTAAGTGGGACGTAACTCTTGTCTTTTTCATCCAGAAAGTAGAGCGGGTCGGTGATTTGATTTGGGTTGAAACCCTCCGCCACCAGCTTCATCTTCAAATGCTTAAATGTGCCTGTAACATCCAAGGAGCTCTGTAATCACAGAACAATGAGTTATTAAGGGAAGGAAAGAATAAAAGGCTATAAACCAAAGCAATCTAGTAAAGTATAGAAAATACTGGAGTTGAAGTACCTGAATCCTCAGGAATCGTGGCCTTGCGTAGGCCGGCAGGAAGTTTTCAACATGTTTGAAAACAGCTGCCGAGTCAAATCTGAGTCCTTCAGTTAAGTTAATGGCAGCCATTCCTGCTCTCCCCTCATGACCTGGAATAAGTTAAACAGAAGTGAAATAAACATATTCTGCAGAGGTCATTTCAGCTTGAGCTTCAAAAAAATTACAAAAATTACAAATTGTGAGCAGGGAATGAATGTTATCAGGTTGCATGTGAAGGAGTAAAGTGATGTTACAAAAATTGCTTTGATGTCCTTCACAGGAGGTCTGTGTAAAAGAAAATGACAACATTGAAATATCACTTGATATTATATTGAGCAGCAATGCCCCTTGTGGAAACCAGAAAAATAGCATGCATTTAACTTATAGGCAGAACATGTCTCAATCTAGTTGAAAACAGTACAAACTACAATTGTGAAGCAAGGGCTCTAGATTGTAAGCCTGTTACAATATAATGCTATAATGGATCATAAACGGATATTTTAATAGGTAAGAACAGGTAATTTTTTGTTTTAAATGTCTGAAAGTCGGTTTTTTCCACTGCACAATTTATTAAATACTTTTTATATCGGAGGTTTTTCAACTAATGTCCAAGTTGATGCCAACTGCAATTGTCGACCATGTTAGTGAGCAGAACAAATCATAGGGTAAAATTAAAATAACGACTTCCCCCATGTTTTCTGGAAAGCTTTTCAGCTCACCTATTTGCACTTTGCCCTGACTGCTTTATATAACCAGGGTCCTAGTTAAGCAAGTGTGAATACCTGCTATACAGAAAGGGGTAATAAAATGTTACTGACTGTTTACTGATACACTCCAATATAAACCTGGCAGACCTGGCGCAATATAAAATACAACACTGAGGTATTGAATTATAAACTTGTGTGATCAAAGACATTCTCTGTAAATTAGACAGGCCATTACTCAACAGAACCCTTTGATGCAGATTATTTAATGATGAAAACAACAGTTGGTAAGTTGCGGCTGTAAGTAACTTCACTGTTTCTGCTCATCACTTTTCTGCTGTGACAGAAAGAACAAAGAGAAGATATACAGTGAGGTTACCTGGCACTTCCACTCCATAAACGTTGGCTTCTTTAATGCAGTCAACCATCGTGATCACGTCAGCCACCTCAGTTGTAGCCACGTTCTCTCCTTTCCATCTAGCATTGGAAACAAACACACATTAACGCTGTGTTCAAGGTCTTTGAACGTCAAACATCAGGTGGCTGAAACTCCAAGATGCACTCACCTGAAAGTGTCTCCCACTCGATCCTGAAAGTAGATGAAGTTATCCTCCTCAATGCGCAGCAGGTCACCAGTGTTGAAGTACAAGTCTCCTTTCCTCAGGACGTCATGCAGCCTCTTCTTCTCAGACTGCTGCAGGTCTCCCATATACCCCGAGAACGGAGCCATCAAGGATATTTCAGAAACCAAGAGTCCAGGCTCACCTGCAGTTAGTTCATCACAATCATGAAATATATACACATATGTACGTGTTTGTAATATATACACACACATATACTGGTGTGTTGACCTTATACATAAGTATTTTGCTCAATAAAACAGCTGCTTGCATGGCTGTCGTGTCATTTTTATAACTAACAACTTGAGTAAAACTTTATAATAATTAAAAACAGCTGTATGTCCAAAGGTTCACCAAAATAATAATATAAAGATTGTTTCTAAGATAATTCTTTACTCCATCAGGTATAAAATATGTCAAACATTTGTATTTATTCCTGTATTTCTTTCTTGGGGGGGCGGGGGGCTCCCAAATGGTACAATATTTGTACATTTCTTTACTTTTTAAAATGTGACTTCTACTTCTGTTCCCCACAGCCCCGGTAATAATGCACCTTTGGCAGCCTCTATGCATAAACCAGAGGAGTCCCTCAGAGGTGTTTCTGTTTCAACGTCGAATCTGATCACAGCGTGTGGAAAGTATCTCTGCAAGATAAAAGAAAGAAAAGTAAAGCCAAAACATTGCTCATTGATTAAAAGCTTTAACCTCATAATGTGAAATGAAACCTGGGAATTTACCCTATGGAGGAAGGAGTCTCGGCCCACAGCCCCGATCTTGCCGCTGTAATTTATCAGACCAAAATTCCCTTCAGTCGCTCCATAAAACTCTCTGATTTTAACGTTTCCAAACCTGCTGATGAAGTCCCTCCAAACATCGGCTCTGATCCCGTTGCCTACTGCAAGTCTCACTTTGTGGCTTCGATCATTAGGTTTCTGTCGGGGAAAAAACATTTAAAAAAACAGTTATTTTTATATCTGGTGAGCACTAAAGTATCATCAATGTTAGTTCTGTGATACCTTTGGTGTGTTGCACAAGTAACGCATGATTTCCCCTATGTACTGTATGACGGTGACGTCATATTTCCTGCAGTCGTTCCAGAACTGCGACACAGAGAACTTACTCCTCAAAGCCACTGTGATACCTACACACAGCAACAGACAAAAAAACAACTGAGAGGATACGATTGGTAATTTTGGCCTCTCAACAAATCTATGATCGACCCACAAACACATGTCTGTGCTCCAAACTCCAATGTTTCCTAAAACTATGATAAGAGAGAGAGTTACGCTGATCCATCTGGACAAAGATGGAGTCAGACTCAAGGAAGGATGCGGCTGCGAGGTGCCCAGTTTTCCACTGTTATTCTGTTCCAGAAACTCCGTGTTGAACTTGATGGGGTTGAAAAAAAGAGGCAGCCCGTTTGGGGCCTTTCACAATGTCTCAAATGCTACTCAGCCCACTGGAGGATTTGGATCTTCTTTGGGAGGATGCAGATCAGCTGAGCCAGGCTGATACACATCCTGTTCTTCTGCCTCCTCGAACTTCAGTGCTTTCATCTCCATCATGATGTTGTCAATCCTCACCTCCTCTTTGTTTTTTATGCTGGCAATAACAATTGTTTTGCCATCATGGCTTTCAGCTTTTGATTGGCTTCCCCCTCCCCTTGCTGCCTCCTGAATATCATCAACATCTCCGTCAAACTGGTCCCACGGTGAAGTCATGTTTGCTGCTGGCTATTTCGGACTCCTCTTGGACTTTGTGCTGGAGGGACTAGTTGGCATACTTGGAGTTCAGGGCAGTATGGGGAGCCTTGTGCTGCTCCTGCTACAACAGACACTTCCTCCTCACTTGGTGGGGTAGTGGTGGTCTAATGGATAGTGAGGTGGGCTGAAGATCGGAAGGTTGTGAGTTCAAATCCCGCCTGGAACATCACCACTAGTGTGCACTTGAGTAAGGCACTTAGTCCTTAGTTACTCCAGGGAGAATGTCCCTGTAATTGGTAATTGTAAGTCGCTTTGGATAAAAGCCTCAGCTAAATGAAATGTAATGTAATGTAATCTTCAACCCGAGATCAGTCTTTCAGATTCTGCCACATCGCTTGTAATCGTTTGTTCATTGCTAGGGTTCGATGCCATTGGGTCAGTCTGACTGGGTTTCTCCTCGACCCCTCTGTGCTTTAATCTTTATATTTTATTATATGAGCTACCCCTGATTGAAAATAACCAACTTTGTATTAATTCATTGAATTAGTGAGAAAAATACAATACAACACCACCTATATTGCCTAACAAAACTGCTGATGCTGTTAAAACGTTTCCTTACCAGATAATTATATATATACCCACAAGTGTTTACCTCTGTCAATAGCTGAAGCAAATCCAAGGAAGCCGGCGGTGTGATAAAGAGGGAGGCTGATATAAAGCACATCATCAGAGTTCATTCCTGCTAGAGACGGGATGCAGGCTACTTGCCACAGTTTGGCATGAGAGATCACAGCTGCTTTAGGGAAACCTGTTGAAAGAGAAGCCAGAGGCATGTTGTGTTGTACACTGAACATTTTAAGAAATAGGCCTATTTCACCCACAGAATAACCATTGTACCATTTGTATCAACTCACCCCATGTTACTTTAAATTCTTGAAAACAACTTGATAAATATCCACTGGGGACAAAGATGTTTTGATGAACTTAAGTAAATGTTGGCCTTGTATTAAAACAGCAAAACAATATGAAAAACTTCATTTATATGCTCTCTACTTTCCGAAACATGTGCATTTTCAAGTGTCCTCAATGACTTTAATTCATCAAGACTTTCCTTTCTTTATGGATTTTTGTATTCACATTAAAGAAATACAAGAAAAACAAAGTTCCTTCCTGGAATCAAATTGAATTCCTCAATACTTTTTTCCTACTATTTTTTTTACAAGAAGTCAAGGTAACTCAGGTCAGTTATTGATATACAAATGCTCATTCAAAAGGGGATTTCTGCACCTGAGGAAACTCACCTGTTGTCCCGGATGTGTAAATGTAGGCTGCTGGACTCCGCAGGGTTAAATGTGACCTTAAATCCTTGGACAGCGGCTCAGAGGAGGCCTGGCTCATTTGATCTTTGAAGCTCTTCACATCTGCAGTCTGGCATCTGTCAGTCAGGATGAACACAGTGACCTGCTGCTCCAACAGAGCGGGCAAGACCTCATCCACAGCATCCTGTAACTCTGACAAGAAAACAAAATGAGCATCTCCTTTGTGCTTCCCTGCAGCTGAGGCAGTGGTTAACTGCACATGCACCAGTGTTTAGAAGTAAAGTCAAAAATACCAATTATTTTTTACCTTATTTAATCTACTTGTTTTGTGAAATGTGGATACTTTTACCTCCTGAAAAAAACATCTGAGAGGTCAAGGGGGAAACCATTATTTAGTGGAAGTGGAAATTGTGACAACAAGGCACTGCTCAGTGGCGGCTGGTGAAAAATATGTTTGGTGGGGCTATGGAAGTGGTGACCAAACCATACTAGGGCGGTCCGGGGGGATCCTCCCCCGGAAGACATTTTTGAGAAATGACCCCTTAAATGATGACTTCTGGTGATGTTAGAGGGGGGGGGAGGACAAATTGAGGCTTAAAAATACGAGATAATCCATAATCTTCAGTGTGGTTAGCTATGAATCTTCCAAAACTCTGCAACAGTACAGTAGGCCCACTGGTGCTTTGGGAACACTCAAATTATTTAATTCCCATTTAAAATCAGGAGACTAAATACGAACATTGTGTGTGTGTGTGTGTGTGTGTGTGTGTGTGTGTGTGTGTGTGTGTGTGTGTGTGTGTGTGTGTGTGTGTGTGTGTGTGTGTGTGTGTGTGTGTGTGTGTGTGTGTGTGTGCGTGCGCGCGCCAGCCATACTCGCCAACCCTCCCGATTTTCGCGGGAGACTCCATTGCCCTCTCCCGGTTTCCTCCCGGGGTCATATTTCTCCCGCATTTCTCCCGATTTCTGACAAAATCTGATTTACTCACGACTGTTTCCACTCGGACTTTAATACAGCTACACCATTGTTTGGTTTCCATGGTAGCACGTCTCTTTAGCAGCGTGCGCAACTCAAAGTCTGAGAGGGTGAGGAAGATGAAAACTGAACAAGAATCGACAACTCGACCCTCTGCTCACTCCTTTCCTGTAGAATACAGGTCCAGCCCACACATATGCTCCATGGTGCTACAGGCATTGCCCTTACAACTACAATAAGCATGTAAATGTTAATCTACAGCTCTGGCGATCCACTAGTCTCCACCTGCAGACGCAGCCATCCTCGACAACTACTGTAGCGTCACCTTGGATACGAGTCCAAACAACTCACAGACACACAGGCCAGGGCGCTGACAGGGCGCCCTTTGAGCATCAGATCTGACAACGCTGATTGGCTGAAATTATGTTTCGGCGGCATAGTTTACAGATAGCAACAGTCAGCTTGTTGGCTGCTGCTGCTCTGGCTGAGGGCTCCTTTCTTACCGCCCGGACAAGAGAGGGTAATGATACACGCTGCGGACAGGCAGGAAACATGTGACTTATCAGTAACTTTAGACATTGTAAAACAATTTTAAACGAGACTTTATTGTAGATTATACATGTTACTGATATCAACTATATCATATTTACCTTGTTCATTAAATAAAAAAATAAAAAATAAATTTTATTTATTTATTTATTTATTTTTTTTAATGACAATCAAACATGTGGGAAGAGGGGGGGCGGCGCCCCTAGCGCAAGCCCCCAGGAAGTGCGCCGGACTCAGATGAAAATATTCGTGCTGGCCAAACGGCGGTACTTCACTTCCTTTTGGTTGCCAGGCCCGGAAACACTTTTTTCCATTGACTTACATGGGGAAAGAGTGGTCTGTAAATCGTTGGATATTTTTTTTTAAACTAAATAAACTACCCAGTATGAACACTTGTATAGCCCTTATTAAAAACATTCGTTCCTCAAGTTGTAAAAATGTGCTAATAACGTTATTCTGTGAGTTATTTCCCTCTGCATTATGAACGCGCATCTAACCCACGGGACCGCGCCGCCCGGCACGTTCATGTTACGTGTTCAGCACTACATGCGTTTATCTTTACCCATGGATGCACAATAAGAACGGACCCATATCGCCTTACTGCCAGCCCACGGAGCTGTAATAATGGATATATTGCACATGTTTGCTGTAATTCATCATTTGTAAAATATTATACTACATGGGCTGTATGATTAAATCTTGTACCGTAAATGTTGTATTAAATAAAGTTAATATTACCGACGTAGATTAACGTCCCTGTAGCTTCTTATTGCACTAAGAAGCTTATTGCACTGTGTATATATATATACATATATATATATATATATATACAGTGCAATAATTCTTTCATGCTAAATGAAGCTCTGTTGCTTGGATATCACTAGATCCTGTTACAGCGTAATATAAAAGTACATAACGATTGATGTGTAAATTAGCATAATTACTAGCTAACCGCTAGCTGCTAACTGCCGCCTCGTTAATAGAGTGGCGAAGTCCCTCCCCTTCCGGTGGACCTCCATGGGACCTTATTTCGGAAAAATTATGTATTGAAGTCAATGGACAGAGAAAGATTATCTTTCGATCCCGTTTGAATTGTGCCACGAATTACACATATGATGTTTGTCAATTTAAAAGATAATTTTGCAAGTCAAAAAAAAAAAATGTGTCGTAAAACTGTGAAGTAACACATTTGTTTGTGTGAAACGCTCAATGAACTACATCTCTGGTCAACAACACACGTCACCAAGATGGCCGTCACTACTGTCTTGTCAACAAAACGATTGACTACCCTCACTATCACCACAATGAAACACGTCCTGAAGAATGTCATGCAAAGCTGCCTGCCTGCCTTCCTTTGATTCTCTCTGAACTGCCTGGTCGTTTTAATGTTTAATGTCAACCATTTGTGCAGATAGCATGAAGTAGAGAAGATCGCCGATGCTAACGTTAGCGTTAGCATTTCTCCCCCGGGCTTAAATGGTGTATTATAGAATGATCACACCGGTGACAGTACTATTCAAAGGATTCACGAAATATGACTACTACTCTTACTGTTTAACATTTTGGGTTACTTAATGTTACTTCATGTTAAGGCTAATAAAAATGACAAGGCTGTAATGCTAACTAACGTGCTAGCTACTAGCTAGGTAGCTAACTTGATCAAGCCACTCCTGGTCCTTTCATCAGACGGGAAGCAAAAGAACGAGCAAGACCCATTGCTGGTATAATAACAACCTGGTACTAAGCACACAGGCATCTTGTTAAAGTTATCTTATCTTAGCCAGCGCCATATAGATAGATTATATCTATATTGCGCTGATCTTAGGTATCTGAATGGTGGAGGAAAACAATTGTGACATCACTTACGCGACTCTGGGATTTGTAGTCTTTCTAGTTACGTATTTTTCATAGTCTTATATTTCAACAGTTTTACGACAAACTGTGACTTTTTTGACATGGAAATTATTTTTTAAGATTGACAAACATCATATCTGTAATTCATGGCACAATTCAAACGGGATCGAAAGATAAGTTTTCTCTCCCCATTGACTTCAATGCATAATTTTTCCGAAATAAGGTCCCATTACCCGGAAGTAAGTGGGCGTGACTTCGCCACTCTATATCAAATCTATCATAATAACAAACATTACCTTGCTGTCATGAACGTGCGGTGCTGTTACGTGTACGCAAATTGACGTGCTTGATGTGAACGAGCATTTTGGGGGGCATGGTTAAAGTTGCGCATGCGCTATGAGCGCACATACGGGTACTTCTCAGGCATGCCGGGTAATCTGTGACGTTTCGCTCTCTCAAAAGTTGGGCCATTTTATCATCATGCGCGAATGAGCAACTCTCATAGGAATGAATGAGGCCCCGCCTCCCACACTGTATCCAGTTCTTATTATACATCCATGCCCTAGCGCCCCTATGGGCCGGCCGCCACTGGCACTGCTGTATTTAGATCATTTCCCCTGCAGCAAATTGTTATGTACGTATGGTTCACATTATGATGTCCATATTATGAGTTTGCCTATCCTCTGTGCATTCCTTTCTGACACTAAAAGGACATTTACTTGAAAAAAAAGATAGTTCCACGTGACACAAGTTTACTTTTAGTTACTTCTTACTCGAAAGAAATGAATTAGGCCTAGTCGAAAGCAAATTGCATCTCCCAGAGCCTTTACAAAAAAAAAAAAAAAAAAAACTGACTTAAAACAGTGACATAGTTCTATGGGCTCAGAACAGTCTCATAATACACACATGCACACAGAAGGATTCACACTTGTATTTCATGATCCGCAAAAGGATTCACACTTGTATTTCCGGATCCACACTTGTGTTTTTCAATGCACACACAAATGTGTTCCGTTTCATATACATGTAAATAAAATCCAAACACAGAAAAAAGTTTTACATATGTATTTTTGATCCACACATATTTGTTTACCGTTTAAATCCCCTGAACCTGCAAACACAAACCGCTTTCTGTGCATAGATCGCTGTGCATGCGTGTGTGGGATTTTTGAGACTCCCCTGACGGTCACCCGATTCGTACTTGTAATTTCTTTCATCTATAGCCAATCAGATGTCTCCTCCAGTCTAAGCCAATCACATGAGCGCGCCCCCACGAGGGTAGGATTTCTTGCGTTGATGACGTAGCACTTCATTTACGCTTTTTGCGCTGTCAGGTCAGAGGTCATCTGTAAAATGGCGTCTGGTGGTCGCGCGCCTCCCGCTCCAAGTGTAAGTTATGTTTAAATTATGAAATACTCCTAAATGATGAAGGATTGGTTTTGCTTAGTTGTTAGTTGTTTAATTCGAGAATTATATAGAACTGTTTTGGTTAGCTTAACTGTGTTGTAGCTGAGCTCCATAAGCTAACATTAGCTAGCGTTGTCTGTCTAACGATCTAACGAACTAACGAGTTTGTTGGTCTAACGATCCCCCATTCTTATTAGGTGCTTCTGCTACCAAGTAAAATGTTGCAGTGAAGTGAATGTGAGAGAAAATTAATTGACTGTTTGACAGGGTGTAACGCCTCGGGTCGAGGTAGCAGCACGGGCTTTAGTTCAATTAATAGCCAGGGAGCTGTCTGCGACTCCAACTCCACCAGAAGTGAGCATAGCAGAGGGTGCACCGGTCAGCGTAGCAGTCAGGGCGGTAGACAGCGTCCAATCCCACAATGATGTTAGGGTGAGGCAGGCGATGAGAAGGTGATTTAATAGACTTTTTTTTACATTTGGCAGTACAAGATCAAACTGTGGCTTAATCCCGTAGATATGTAAACATCTGATATTTGATCTCACCCCTCGCATGACTCTAATGTAATGTTGAGTTAATGTTTTAAAACATTTTTCCATAGTCTGTATCCTCTATATCCCCATTACTGCTTTTAAAACCTTTAGCAGCCCCTTGCCTTGAAACGTCCCAAACACAATATATTAATATTTTCAAAAGAAATATTTTGGTAAGATAAAGCTAAGTGTCAAGATTGTTTTTGTATCGACAGAATATTAACTATGATTTTGCTTTTTATTCATGCAATTTGTTCAAACTATTAACACAACCATCAACGCAAGCTAAGGATTTGGAAATGATATAACAATCTTAATATACATTTAATAGAATGTCTAGTCTCACAGATCCTTTTGTCATTCCCACATCAGGCAATTCCCAAGTATGTTCAGTACTGATCAGCCAAGAGGCAAAAGACGATTTCCCACCCCGGCTCCTTGCATCGTCAAACGGACGGACTTTCATATATATGTCCTTTCGGGACCCAGTCAGTTTACACCAAAGGGCTCGGAAGAGCTACCACTTGCCTATGCTGGCCTTGGAAAGAGGATGCTAAATCTACCGGACAACTTATTGCACAGTGAGGTAATCATATAAACAGTATTGAAGATTTCTCAAAGATTTAAAATGTGAATCACTTGCTGAATATTGTATGTTATTTCACTTTGTTTTAAAGACTATGGCTTCGGTTGAGGAAGAATTTCCCAAACTGAAAACATTAAAAGGAGGCTGGATGTTTTTCAAGTCAGCAGGTAATGTTCTCATCTCCATTGGTGAAAATGCTGTGTTGTGTTTTTCACACTCAGAAGCCCCACATATGTGTTTTCTGACGCCCCTACTTTGAATTACCATTCATATCACTTTTTCAAGTTGTATAAAACAGTACTAAAGTTTGCCTGACAAAGTGTAACGTATATCCCTAATATTAATGTATGTACTGTCAGTTGGTTTTAAAGCACACTTGTGTTGTTCCTATTTTGATTTTAAAATAGGTGGTAGTGGACGTCGAAAGCTGTCCATAATCCCTACTGACTCCGAGGGGTACTCCACAAGGCTCCTCAAAACAGCGTCCAACAATGGAAAAAACATTGTGTTTGTAATTCCACTCCAGGAGCAACTTTCTACTGAACCACTACCCTATGACTCAGCAGAGTTTGCAAAGATGCCACAGTCAACCTGCATAACATGTGGTAGTCAAATGCCTTTGCAGCTGTTGCCTTTACATGTGGAGGAATGTAATGACATATTGACTGTAAGCTGTTATTAAAACATTTCTCTAATTTATCAAATAAAGATGTAATATTTTAGTTTGCTCAAATGACTGTTTCAAAGTCTATAGAACCAATTCTCTGTACCTTTTTTGTTTTTTAGGAGAGTGAATCTGGGACTTCTCTTGATGAAGTGATTGAGCAGCCAAATCCACCTAACACAGGGATGGAAGAATCGTCAGAGGTAGTTGATGCTGTCTTCTCCTGTTAAAGTTACTTTGCAGTTTAGTATAAAAGCCTTATTGTTTTCAGTAAATAATGACAGTATGATTGCAGGTGTGTGTATATAGGTAGGGTATAACACATTTCACCAAACTGACTTTTTGCACACTGTCTATGTACTCATTTTTGATCATATAATTATGTTTCCTGTATCACTTATCTGAGAGAGAATTATTAAACATAAAACCTTTCTTATAATAATGTGATATGTTTTAAAGGTATTGACATTTGTTTATGTTTTTTACAGGTTTGCCCTATATGTCTTGAGTCTTACCCGATTGATGTCCTCTCATTTCATGCAAGCACATGTGGTGAAGGGTAAGAAGTTTTGACTTGTTCAAGCAAAAGATGGAAGATAGACATGTTTTGAGTGAGGTGAACAACATATAAAAAGTGTCAAACCTAATAACGATATCCAGTGTTTCCCCTACCATTGTCTTGGAGGGGCGCTGCGCCCCGCCAACGGAGCACCGCGCCCCCCCTGAAATTCAAGGTGTTTAAATAAACTAAACGCTTTCATTTTAAGTAGTGAGTTTAGTGTTTTTGACCCTAAGAAACACTGATGCATTAATCAATAACAATAATCCACAGCTCCTCTCTCTGCTCCAGAGGATTTAAACAATATATATCCCAATGCCACCCCCTGCTCAGGCAGCACCCCCCCAAAGCAGTAAACCTAGGGGAAACACTGATATCGTTTGGTGAATGTGCTTGTTCCTTTTTTGTGTTTTTAAAATGCTGTAATGTTACAGCTATAGCAGCTGCATCAGAGCATGTGATGCATTTTTAAGAAATGTAGATGTAGAAATCATAACAGAGCCGAAATACTTATTAGGGATCTGATTTAAATTACTTTGTTTGATGGAGCCTATATGCAAGAAGAAATATGTAAAAAAAGAATGGGCACTCATCACTTGTCTCTATTTTCCATTCCTGTGAGTATGTTTTTTGTTTTGTCTTTTCCAAGAATGGACCCTGCTCATCATAGCAGTATGACAAGGACAGAGGAAATGCCAAGGACAGAGGAAATGCCAAGGACAGAGGAAATGCCAGGACCTTCAGTTCAAAGATTGCCAGCAACAGTTTCAGCAGGTTATTTATTCAGAACAATTACTGCTGTGGTGTAGTTTGAAACAGTGACTACTCACAAACACTTAAATAGCAATGATCACCAAAATGAATCTTGTTACATGTTTGATCCAGTAATATGGAAAGGATAATTGATTTCAAGTTACTACCTTTTAATATATTGCTTTAAAATACAGGGCTTACTAAATGAGACAATAAATGAAGTACTATTTTAAAATTGAAGCTGACATATTATGAAGTTTATTGTACCAACCACTTTTTTTTTCTTCAAATTACGTTTTCAGCATGGGCCAATGAAGTGGACGCCCGGAAGGCATGTCAGTTGTTTAGAGAGGAACTGCTGGAACGTAACTATGAATGTCCACGCCTCTTTCTGTCAATCGACATGTTTGACGCAGAAGAAGAAACAGACAGTTCATTGATTTCATTCTTTAAAATGAACAATGTTAACTGGGCAGCTCCATTAAAGTGCAGGCTGAGAGGTATTAATAAATAGTGTAACTTCTCATGTTTCATTATAGGTAGTCATCTGGGTCGAATTTTGCCTTTTTGTTGCCTTTTTGTTTGTTTTTACTTGCATGTTGAGGATTAAGTTCATGTCCCTTAGACCAAGGAAGAAAGAACTAGTTACATTTATTGTATTGAAAGCTTGAAGGATGATTCATGTTGTCTCTTGGTAAGTGTATGTTGAATATCATCTTGTTAGTTGTACTTTTCTAAATGAGGTCGTCTTTTCAAGGGGATGCAGCAGTCGGCCAAGGTGTCAACCGACACGTTTTGTCAATGGCCATGCAGAAACTGAAGACCGGCTTCAGTATAAATTTAGGTGGGGTGTCCCCATTTGTCTTTCAATTGAAATAACCACTTGCAGCTAAATCTTAATAAACCAACAAAGATTACAACATGCATATTCACAGTTGAACCAACACTCAATATAGCTTGACCTAAAAATGACGTTATAGCAATACATGGCGTCTAAACTATTTCTCCTTTTTTATTAAGGCTGTGCAGCTCTGACAAGCCTTTTTGAAGGGGAAATGGAACATCGGGTTCCCTCCGCAGCTGCTGTGCTTCGGGAAAGCAACCTGTTTGAGATGGCAGGTCGGATGATAGGCCTTTCCTTCCTGCATGGTGGTTTTGGTTTCTCAGGACTAAGTGTGCCTGTAGTGACTCTGTTGACTGGTGGGAGCACGGATACTGCAGCATCAGCGCTTACCCTGCTGGACTGTCCTGATCTTGACCACCGTGAAACAATTGGTTTTGTGAGTGTCCTAGTTAAAAAGTGACATGTCATACACCACTGCACCACAATGCTACATACACTTGTCATCTTGTGCATTATGAAAAAGATTCCATTCATGTGTCAAGGCTGGGCTGTTTAGCTAGAAACGATTTCCAACGCTTTTTTGTGTCCCATTTTGATTTTTCCAGATTTAGGCTTTTTGTCCACTTTTGCAGACTGCCGTACACAATTTTGCATGCATTTAAATGATGTCCTCTTTTTTCCTGTTTTAGCTCAAGAATACACAACTTACTGCTCAAGAAACCACCAGTGTGACTGATCTTTGCCTGTCCTGGGACCTCCCTGTTCCAACCTCCACCAATCATGACTGGCTGTTCCAGGAACTTCTTTCCCATGCAGTAATCATTTTATATTGTACCATTTTTATTTAAACAATACAATGTTTAGGTAATTAGTAGGTTTGCTTTGTAAGTCCTCCTGTATCTGCTACTGTGGTGTTTTTCCATTAGTGCCTCGTTTGATTGTTCCTTTTACTTGCAGGTACTTCACCGTGTTAGGCAGCCTATCAAACAGATTCGCAAAGGCCTTAAAGAAACGGGAATCTGGCCGCTTGTTTCAAATAGGCCAGATGTCCACCCCATATTATTTCCAAGAGAGAAAAATGATGAGCTGAACTCACAGGTAAGTGCCATTTTCTTTATTGGATTTATGTTATTCAAGGGATTTGTTTGCAAACACTATCATGCAATTTCATTTGTTGGGGGCTCTTAAACTGGTGTGTAGATCTTAAATCAATGCTTTACAATTTTAAGATAATTCTGTAGCATATAACATGAGCTTCAATCTTAGCAAAGAACACGTTTGTATTTGATCCCCTATAGACTGTGATCCAGAACATCCACTGGCCACAGCCCAAAAGTGACAGCGATGAAGACGAGGACGACGCCGTTCCATTGGAGAAAGTCAGTCTCGTCACTGGATTTTTGAGGCAATTCATAGAGGAAGGTAACACTTTTTATTACATCTCTATTTTAAACTAGTTACTTAAGTGTAATGACTGCTAAAGCTGTAGTGCAGCTGAAGAGATGGCAGTTCTGATTAATAATAATATGCACACACATCGGTGTACAAATACAAATCTATGCATGAGTTAACCGTTGATATTCCTGCAAGTTTTACTGCTCAAATTTAAAGTTTTGTTATAATGCAATTTGAGGTATCGCATACATAACAAATTCTCTCCCATAGCATCTCCGAAGGTGCTGCGTGACCTCTTGAAGTTCTGGGTCGGGTGGGAGCTGCTCACAACAAACCTTGAAGTTGAGGTTGTTACTTCAAAATACCCAGTGGCTCTCACCTGCTTCCTAAAATTGAAGCTCCCAAGCCACTACCAAACCTATGAAAAGTTCCACCAGGACTTGATGATGGCCCTCAGTTCCATCAATTCAGGCTTTGGGCTTGTGTAGCTACACACTGACTCAGTTTGTTTTGTATTTTTCTGGAGAAGGGTTTGCCTCTCTATTCAATACACTGTGTGAGATACAGGGTTACAGTTGGTACACCTACCGTCTTTTATAAATAAAGGACATTTGGAAAAAGACTGTTTGTCCATTATCATTGTTACACTTTAACAATGCCCAATCCCTTGAACAGTATACTCCGAATAGTTCTTTTACAAAGTTTTTATTTTTTACCGAGTGTAAAATGAATGTAATTCTGTTGCTCTGAAACGGTGTTTGATCCTGACTGAAAATGCATCTCTAAAAACACTTCCATTCATTTCTCTTCCAATTATAAGTCAAAAGAAAAATGTCAAATCATGCAATTGAGATTAACTTAATCAAGCATAAGCTATGTAAATATAAAATGATTAACTTTCCATCATTGCCAAATAACTGAAATCATGACACAAATCATACTATAGTTGTTAAATGTGTAACAACTATCAGTGCTCAATTAAGTTCTCAATGTATTGGACAGTATTGAGATATATGTCCACTCCGAAACATTCAGATTCTTCCAATGGATCAATGTTGTCTTGCAGTTGCATCATTTCAAGTTCTGAGAGAGGGAAGTTCAGCGTAGGGACATTGACCCCGGTATGATGCTCATTTGTGTATCCACTCTCTTCCCATTGAATCTCTGGTATGAGTAAACCCTAAAAAAGACAAAGTGCGTGTACAAATATTAAAGCAAGCACTGTGCCATTACTGCTTCTTATTACAAAATATGTGATCAGGTGAAATAAAGAGGGTATGCAATTGTTCTATAATAATAAAAAATGGAGTGATTGTGGAATAATGTTAAGGTAATAGTGTAATATTATAGAAAAGTGTTCTTGCTTGCACCCAGCAGAGGCTTTTTTAATCCAAGAAGGGGAGTTAGATTATGAATCAGATAACTTATTATACTGTTTGGGTTTTTATTGATTGATAATAAACAAGAGATAGTGATGGTTTTGAAAATTCACAATTTACCTCAGGCTCAGGATCTGCAACAGGATTCAGGTGCTGGCCCACGTGCCACAACTGATTGGGTGTCAGATTTTGCTCTGTCCTGATGGGATGGTTGGCCCAGGCCTCACTGAACACATCCAGGTTGGCTTGGATGCGTGGCAAGAAAACGTAGTGGCAGCAGAAGATGTGCAGGACGTTACTGATGTCAAGCAGGTGTTGTTCCTCAAGAGAGTGCAGGGTGTTGTAAAAGACACCCGTAACACTCATGAACACATCACGCCAGAGGCGTTCAATTCTGTGTTAGAAGAAAACACAATTTTTTTTTAAACTTAAAAGAAAATCAAAACTGTTCACTATGAACAATTTAAAGTTTCCCAGTACTAGTCATTGAATCAATGGCAATGTCTCTAACTGAAAATTGCATTTATTTAAAAAAGAAATCAACTGACTTGACAGGAGAGTAAAACATAGCAGTGAGACTGTTAAACAATTGAACTGCTGAAACAATTTCATAACATTCATCTGCTACTTAGTAATATATATCTACTAATATATATAATTCCTATAACTTGTATATAGACTCGTACTGCACTATTCCACTTTTTTTCTCTCACTTTATTTTAGAACTATTTTTCTTTTTGTATTACTTTTACTATCTGTATTATTATGTTGCATTGTTGGAGAAGCCTGTGACCTACTGTAAGATTTTCAACGACATAATTACTCTGTAGCTATGTTAGTTTGACAATAAAGAACCTTGAACCTTGAACATAGTGAGTTTTCAAATGTTTCAAATGTTTGCTTGGCTGGTACATTTCTGTGAAAATTGTCATTTTCTTCTTTGTGAAGGAATGGTCTCAACATGTGCTTATGAAGGTTTGTTAAAGGGAATATTAAGAAGAAGAAATATGCTCATAAGCTTACAAAATTAGGTTTAACTCACCGTTGATTGTGTACGCTTTTCCCTGCAATGAAGCTGTTACTGTCAGTTCCACGAACTGAGAACATTAATTGTGCTACTCCCACATTTTCTCCACCATGATCTCCTCTCACTCTGGAAAATAAATCAAATAATTATGCATAGTTAAAATATACGTATTTGAAGGTCCAAAAAACAAGGGGTACAATTCCATAATGATCTACATCCATAATGTGATCACAAATGGCTCTCTGGACATAAATATTTGAGATATCTGGACAGGTCCTTAACTGTAACCCTTAAGAGTTCTCTTTCACTTTATTAAACCTCGAGTTATCTTCCACACCTGAATGAGGGATGGTTCACATCAGCTTGTGAATAGATTATATTTTCATATTTCTGTACATTACATGAATCTCAGCTGAGGGATGGGAAAATCTGACATGTAGCTTATATATTGTCATATGTGAGGGGCTCACATAGAATTAACAATTTATATGGCTGTGTCCAACAGCACTTTTGTGGCCTGGAAAGGTACAGTTTATAATGGCAATTGTTTTAACTTATATGTTCAGATTGCCTCTTTGAACTAACAGTAAAGCACGACAATATTTGCAATGAATGAGTCCCATCAAAAGTAAAGTGGTCGTCACTGATGCAGCCATTGGAGGGGAGCATCTAAATTTGATGGAAAGGTCCGCAATTACACTAATGATTACATATGAAATAATGTGAATACCTCAGAGGAAACCCGTGCTCGTTCACAGCTTCATTGAAGAAACACAAGTGGGTGTCAGCCCGGTTGTTGTCTGCTATCTTCAAGTACATAATCTACACATACAAGTACACATAAAACAACATATTAGTACCTTGATGAATCAGTTTAACTTCTGTCAAATGACAATGTGCAACATTAAGAGAACAACGCACAACAGAATTATTCAATGTATAACAGAATATCATGATAGCTCAGGCAAGCTTCTTGACATATATTGTGCAGTTCTTCAAAGTATTTATTTTGAAATTAAGTAAACAAGTAAATGCATATTGTTTGATCTGAATCACTTAAAATATAAGGTGACTTTAGAAGTCCAAATCGTCTGTTTGGTAAGAGGTGATATGTAATTAACTATAGATTAGATTGTGTACCTAAAGATCACCACCTGTTGGTACAGAAAATAAACTGAAGCTTAGAAAAGTAAAACCACATGATGTTCGGCAACATTTTGCAGTTGTTGGTTCTTGACAATAGAATAGTCTTACCTTCCTTGAATAGCCATCTATTCCCCCAAAGATAACAAAGTTGTACCTGTTTTAAAAAAAAAGGAAAAGATAAGAATTAACCCCTAAACACAAAATCTGTTGATGTTTTGTGAAGTCAATGATAGACAATGATATGATTACATTCACAAGATATATACAACTAGACATTAAAAATAATAAAATGAACAGATTACATACAGACAGCATGCAGACAAACCTGATGAGCTTGTGGTTGGTGTCAATGTGCACCATGTACTTAGGGTAAGGAACTGTGTATGTTCTCCTCACCACACATCCCATCCGGGTCATCCTGGCGAGCACACCAACACTGTCCACACGATGCATGGATGCATACACCCGTTCCCATTGCACTCTGTGTCCCTTCGCAAGTAGAGCACCTCGGACTACACTGTAGCCAGCATCTGGCATTGCACTTTTTATTGTGGTGATCAATGAATCCAATTCGTCATCAGTGCAGCCACTATATGAAGCAGATATAGAAATGTCATTTTCGGTCATCCGCCTAAATAGCGTTGCTCTAGACACACCCAGGAGTCTGGCGATGCAACTCGATGGCAGTCCCAGTTCAACCAGATGTGTCAGAGCCTCTACTGACACATTCAATCGTGGACGCCCACGTCCACAACATTTTTGCAACTCAAGGGTCACAAATGTCTGTTGATTATCTCTCTCTTGCTGGATAAGGCTATTCAGGTCTGCAAGTGCAGACTGTATATTATTCCCTAAATCAACAATGTCACCCAGTGCACTCAAGATAACAAAAGCCTGACGGCACGCAAACTGTAGCCCTTCGAGATCAACAGGTGTCCTATCAAAGATGTATGTCAGTCGATCTTGAAGTCTCTGAAGGATTTCACGCTTTACTGATTCCTGGGGGGAAAAGAATAGAAAAGATAGATAAAATATGACCAACAGTGCTCAACGTTCGACCGTTTGTTTACCAACACCGGTTAATCCTATTTAACGTCAGCTCTTAATGTTCAATTCCACCCCATCATTAAACACAATGGAATATATTTTTGAATAATAATTTGAGCAGGAAACTTTGGATTCATTCTGTCTAAGCTGTCCCTAAAAAAGAAAGCAAGAAAATGAAAGAAGTTAAAGAAATGTTTGGCTAATGTTAGCTATGTAAGGTTATAATCCTAGGTAGTCTATTAGCATTATATAGCTAACTTGCCAGCAAACGCTAGCATTACATGCCACCCATATTACTTCCATGCTAACACATCACTAACATAACAATAATTCATACCTAAAACATATTTAATCATTCACGCCGAGACACGTATCACTTACACTTGTGCTAGACGCCATGTTGAAGTTGACCTGTTAGCTCCATGGATGTTCCGTCAGCTCCGGAGTCCGGACAGCGCAAAATGCGTAAATGAAGTGCTACGTCATCAACGCAAGAAATCCTACCCTCGTGGGGGCGCGCTCATGTGATTGGCTTAGACTGCAGGAGACATCTGATTGGCTATAGATGAAAGAAATTACAAGTACGAATCGGGTGACCGTCAGGGGAGTCTCAAAAATCCCACACACGCATGCACAGCGATCTATGCACAGAAAGCGGTTTGTGTTTGCAGGTTCAGGGGATTTAAACGGTAAACAAATATGTGTGGATCAAAAATACATATGTAAAACTTTTTTCTGTATTTGGATTGTATTTACATGTATATGAAACGGAACACATTTGTGTGTGCATTGAAAAACACAAGTGTGGATCCGAAAATACAAGTGTGAATCCTTTTGCGGATCATGAAATACAAGTGTGAATCCTTCTGTGTGCATGTGTGTATTATGAGACTGTTCTGAGCCCATATAGTTCTACTCCGAAAACATTTCTTATTATTAAAACAATCATTTTAATTAGTTAACTCAATTAATTGATTAAAAGAAAGACTGATCTCCCTAAAAACCTACCCTGAAGTTAGGGCACATCACATAGATCCAGCACTTAATGTTTTCATGACGCCCACAACAAGTGATGAAACCTGATTACCTTCCGCAGCGACCAGAGTCCTGGCTCCGCTGCACTTGAAGCAGTGTAACAGGGACTTGGATCTGATGTTGCAGTTGAGGAAAGCAGCGGAACATCCGATCTTCACCAAACCCAGCCACAGCCACAGAAACACGGGCTCATTTCCGAGGAACAGCGCGACCGTGTCTCCTTGCTTCAGCAGGCCGCTCTGCAGGAACACCCGGGCCGCCTTGTTACTGAGCTCCTCCGCGTCCCGGTAGGTAAAGGTCTCATCTCCAAACAGGATGAACGGCTTGTGTGGGTGCTCCTTCTCTGCGTCTATGAACCGATCCAGTATGGAGTAGTTGGTCTGCATGTATTTCAGGATGCGGCTCCTCGTTTTCAACTTTTTACGCACAAATTGGACATCCCGGAAAAAGTGCGGATTGCGGAAAAATAGGGCGAGAAGACCCACCGCGGCAAACACTATCCAGACAAGCATGGTGATCTGTGATCAACTCCAGCTGCCTGTGGAAGTCTGACCAGTTTATAACAGAGATACAACAAAGGTGGGAACATAAAGTTGGAGCACAGCCAGCACAAGGGTTACCAATAGTGATGGGAATTCCGGCTCTTCTTGGTGAGCCGGATCATTTGGCTCGGCTCACCAAGAAGAGCCGGCTCTTTCGGCTCCCAAACGGCTCTTCAGTTTACTACATATTATACCTTTTATAATTCAATCAAATGTAGCCCTGTTTTGACTCATGATTTATATGTGTACACATATCACTTAAATTATTCAATACATCCTTTGTACTGAAGTATTCAAAAGTAAAAATTACATGTTTAATATCAATTATTTGCTGTGGCCAGTTTTCATTGCATTTACAGACCCTTGTATCTCTCTGATACCACCCAATGAATGCACTGACTTGCTTGAACCACGCTACACAAAGCAGATAGCAACACCTATAAAAAACCCGAGGTGACAGGGCTTTCAGTGTTGCAGCTCCTAGACTGTGGAACAGCCTCCCAGTATATATCCGGACTGCTGAGTCTATTGAACTTTTTAAATCTCAGCTAAAAACTCACCTCTTTGCACTGGCTTTTAATACTAGTTGAACATTACATTTTTACATTTGTATGTGTTTTTTTTAAATATTTTTCTAGTTATTGTGCTTTTTATCATGTTTTTAATTATTGTTTTATTATTGTACTCCCATTGTGTTATTTAATATGTATTGCCTGTACAGCACTTTGGTCAACTGAAGGTTGTTTTAAATGTGCTATATAAATAAATAAAGATTGAGATTGAGATAAAAACTTAAGCATAGACATTTAAATAAAGGGGCTACTGTATCGACATTTTAAAATTATATTTAAAGAAAAGGCCCTGACTAAACAGCAGGGCTCTATTTCAGTATTAACTATAGAAAAAAAGACAGCAACAGCTGACATCAAATCTTTGCTGAGCCCAAGGATAATCATAAATAAATGACATAGTGAAAATAAATATATTGCAATGCTCAGTACAGCAGCATCCAACAGTCTCTAATCCTTGGATATTACATGTCACTGCATGCATGCACGGAGCAGCTGTAGCGCGGAGATCATCATATCATTCTGTCTTGTATTACTTAACAACAAAATAACAAAAAAAAACGGCTCGTTCGCGGGCGCGAGCCGGCTCCCGTCGTTCACTTAAAAGAGCCGGCTCTTTGAGCCGGCTCGTTCGCGACCGACACATCACTAGTTACCAATCGAGTAGGATCATGTCGTCAGAACACTGATTAACAAAACAAACATTACAATGGAACAACATGAAGATAAACTGAGAGTAAGACTGGAGAGAGGCGAGCTCTTCTTGGGAGGCCGTTGCATTTATTTAGCTGTTCTTCTGTTTCACAAAATACATCAGACCTCTGTTTTTCTGCTGCCTCGTTTCACTTCCAGAAACATACACACGCTCGCTCACTCTCTCTTAAAGGGACAGCGATCTCATCTCACTCTGCATGACCCTAATATCATAACATGTGTGTTCTGGAGAATCACAGAATGGACGATCGTCCTTATTATTATGCCGTTTAAACCAATTATTTAAATGTGTATGTTAAATTCGGCATCATGTAAGTTGCGCAGTGTGTGGACCTGTCAGGTCCACACACTGCTTCCCCGCAGCGAGGCCCCCCCCGCCCTCCTGTTGATAGTTCACGAGCGTCAAGCTCCTCAAGCTCCTCAACCCCCCCCCCCCCCCCCCCTATATATATCGTAGTTCTGATGAACTATTGTGGGAAAAGTACACCAAAGTACTCCGGTGTGAACGCACCTTTTAACCTATGTTCTGTGACCCATTTGAAAACATTAGGTTTGTGTCGGGATGAAACAGGTCTGAAATAGTTGTGTTTTTGGTGAGGTTTGTAGTATCACCAATGTTAGGTCTGTGATACATTTGGTGTGTTGCACAAGTAACGCATGATTTCCCCTACATTGGGTATGACGGTGACATCATATCTCCTGCAGTCGTCCCAAAATTGAGATGCAGAGAACTTCCTCCTCAAAGCCACTGTGATGCCTGCACACAACAACAATACGAAACACAATCTGAAAGGATAAGATCGATTATATCTGAGGTTTTTCTGCTTAACATATCAATGAAAAGCCCAAACCAATAATACATGCATCTACAAACACATCCTTGTAGCCGAGCCTTTGAGGACTCCAGTGTTTTCTGAATCTATTCAGGTTTATATTTATATATATGTTTATATTATAATTGGTTTATATAAAATGCAACCCTTATTGCTGAAGAGGCTCGTCCCTCACGACAAATAATGTATTCTCTCTTAATTTGCAAGCATATGATAATATTTATTAAAACAAATTAAATACATTTATAAAAAAACAAACATTTATGATCTACGCACAGCATATCTCATTAACGTTATATAAAATATATGAAAATATAAAAACAGGCATAACGACGGAGGTGCAGAACACTTAATCTAGTTCTCTGTGGCAGTCTACAGTACAGGGTGCAGTGACCTGCCAGTATCAGTCTTCAAGGTATCACAAGTTAAATATTACAGTGTGGACAGCGTTTGACCTGTAATATTTTTCTAAAAATACACGTATACTTTATGAAAGGATCACTTCTAAGTGCCTCACTGACATTGCGAACAAACACCTGCAGCTTTAAAGCTACACTGAAATGTTCAACAGGCATATGAGAGATCTAATAAACAAATCACAAAACAAATATGTTGTTTTGTTTAAAGGAGTGTTACGCCTGTTCTGAGATTATCTGGACCAGGACATAGAAGTTGTTTCTTTGGAAACACTGGAACAATTTCTGCATTAAAGAAAAAGTTCCTTTTGGAACGCTAACTTGCTTTCTTGTCGAGAGGTAAATTAAGATTGAAACCACTATCATGTCTGTAAAGTTAGCTTAGCGTAGCACAAAAGCTGGGAACATGTGGAGAAAACTAGCCTGTGTCTCTCTGAACCTTATTTCTTGTGTAAATTATATTTAATTTGTTTACTATTTCTTGTTTGGTTAACTCACAGTATTACTGGAACTATATCATCACATAAGCCCCCATAACATTACAATTTGTTATTCTACTCAATTATATTCGACACTGTTTTGTAAACAAACATTCTGTTCTGGTGGGTTGTTTTTAGCGAACTTTGGAAATCCCAATTGGATTTGATTTTCCACCTCATTTCCAGTTTGTACGCTAAACTTAGGTTACTGGCTGCAGGTTTATATTTTGCGAACTCAAGACTGAGTGTCTGAGAGTATCAATCTCCATCAATGTCTCTTGCCAAGAAAGCAAATAAGCCAATTTCCTAAATGTCAAACTATTCTGTTAACAATGTTAAAGCAACACAAAGAAACACACTGCAAACATCCATGAAGGCAACGGTTCTACATCGAGTAAACTTTAAACACTTAATTAAAAAAAGGCACATTAATGTAAGTTTACTGAAATTGTTAGAACTCAGTTCAAAGTTTATCTGCCTACTTCACTTCATACCTGCCCTCACTTTGTCATTTCTGCTGGTAGAACGGACTGTCGAAGCCGCTGTCCTGCTGCCGTTGTCTCAGCTCAGAGAACTGAGGCCGGGGACGGCCCCCCCGCTGCTCCTCGCCCTCGGAGCCAGGCGTGGGCTCCCGGTGTGTGCTGAGCTTTGCATGCTGAACGCTCAAAGTCTGGGTGTGAGGTGTCTTTTTGGCAATTTCATTATAGACAGTCAGGTCAGAAACGTTCGGGGTGAGTCTACCAAACTCTCCCAGGTGACAGGCTGACGCAGCAGAGACAGAAAAAGGCTTCACCTGCTCCACTTTCCTCCCTGAGTAAGAGAGTGTGGAGGCCTGGAAGCCTGCGTCCGAGTCACTGCTGCTCATGCTCCAGTCCGTCCTCCTCTCGTCTCTGACAGGAGCCTCCTGGATGAGGAGCGGGTGGCTCTGTCGCTCTGAGTCAAGGCGGTTGACTCCCTGCAGGCAGAGCTCTCTGTTTTTACTCCTCACAGACGCATCGACAAAATCCCCCTGGCATGAATTTGTCTGATGTGAAGGTTTGTAAGAGCGGAGATGTGCGTTACCAGCAGTCTTCAGTCTTGCATCTACTGCCGCTGCCTCCTTCTCAGTGGCAGGAAGGTCTTTGTGACTCGAAGGTTTCGTCCTCGGTGTGGCGACTTGTTTCTGCTCTGAAGTCTTTTCCCTGTGCGATCTCTCTGGCCTGATGTCAGGGAGCTCAGGGAGAGTCGACGGGTTCTTACTGAAACCTGCATTTCTACCTGTGAACACAGCCGTCAAACAACCAGTCAATACAAACCACATATTCCCAGCACATTGACAATTGAAAACCTAAAAGGAGACACCTTGAATCAAGCAGTTTCTACTCGACAGCACTCACTTTGTAAGCTGTAGTTCTTTGAAGATTTAATTCTGACAGGCGTCTCCAGTACTTTAGCCATGGCTGCCAGCTTGCTAGCAGCATTCATTATTTTCTTCTCAGCCCTGCAGAGGACAGGAAGATCAATACAATTAGCCGGAGGAGTCCTGAGGAAGCAAGCAAACAAGTTTAGGACATTACGGTCTCTTGCCCTGTATTCTTTCCCCCGTCCTCCAGTAACTCCTGCAGACAGGTCAGATAATAGCGCCGCATCCTCCTGGCCGTGTCCTGCCTCTCCCTCTGCACCTCCACGCGGATCATCTCTGCTGCTCGCTCTTGACTCTCCTGGAGGTAACGCAGCATGTCTCCTGCGGTAAAACACAGTTATGATCTGTCCTTTTCACTAGTTACATTTACATGAAAATAACTGATCAGATTCACAAGTGAAGACATAAATGAATATTATGGTACAGGACATCATAGTGTCTAGTTTAGTCTTCTTCCTCAGTCCCTCCAGGGCAGTTCTATATTGAAATCTGGTGTGCCTGAATACAGAATATTTTAAATGTGCACACAATAAACACATCCATTACCAACCTCTGATCTTTTCTACAGTCGTCACGTATTGCTGCTCCATCTCTTCTAGGCCTTGCGTATTTTGTTGGTGATCAGAACTCCTGCAAGCAAGAAAAAAACATATTCTTCCATGATTTAATCTAAATTAAATGTCAACCTGATCTTTGGTGTATTTTCAGCTATTTTCAGCTATTTGAAAGATTTCCCCCAAAAACAAAGACAAGAAACCCTAAAGACTTTGCTGCTTTCTAGCAATTTGCCCTTACTTTGAATAGTCCAAGGGTTAATTACTATTTGGGATGGGTCAAATGTCTGGAGGGACTTGATTTGACTATTACTGGAGTAAAAAGTCCAGCTTATGCTTGGCATCATTAAGATGACAGGTAATGTGAGATGCTTGGTCCAAAAATCTAAAACCTTGTGTTGGATGGAATGTTAATCCCAAATGCAAAATGCCTGAGCAAAAGCACTTAAAGGTGGGGTAGGTAATTTTGGAGAAACCAGCTCGAGTGCGTAGAATTTGAAAATACACAACCGGAGAAAATCTGCCACTTCCTTAGAGAGACCCTCCTCCAACACACACGAACGCGCACATGACCAATGAGGGCACGAGATAAGTTTGTGCACAGATGGAAGGCTGACAGGCAGGTAGGCCATCCAGTTACTTTAGCCGGGCCTGCTAAAATGATTGGTCGTGCTTTTTACAGTACTACGGCTTCCACAGATGACATTTTTTTATGGATTTTTTGTCAAAGCACTTCAGATATTCATTGCTATCGGGATGTTAAGAGCATTCCATGGAATATAACAAAAAGTGTATCTCGAGCCGGTTTCTCAAACTTACCTAACCCACCTTTAAGATAAGGGACAACATTTAATATAAAAAATATATACATTGGTTTAACTTTTAACTAACACGTCATATAACAACAGAACAAAACAATAAACTGGAGCAACTATATTTTATTTAGCTTCATTTGACTTGGAACTGAAGATAAGAAACAATAAAAACACTAACCCTGAGGATTCTTTGGCTCTCTTCACCTCCTCCAGCTGCTGCAGATGTTCCTCCTTCATGGTTTTCAAGCTGCTTTCATGCTCATCTGCAACACACAGACATATTGTATGTTGCAGGGCTCGAGCTTAAGGACCTCCCGTCGTCCCGGGGCCGAAAAAAATCGGGTCGGGGAGGATACAAATTAATTTTGGGACGAATTTGGGACGAGAGTTAAAATAAAAATACCCTGCTAACTCTACTACGAACGGCGATGAAAATGAAACTGACTGCACGTTTTGTGTAGCACACAGTTATTAAACCTCCTTGTCAACATAAACACACACAAAGCATTTAGCAACCCGCGAAATACACACAGTACGTATAGCTACAGCTGTCAGCCAGCCGTACAGCTGTGATGTAACTACCATTTTTTTACCCCGGAGCGGTGCGGAGAAACGAAACTTAACTTATGAAGCAGCTTTTGACGGCGCGCTATGCATGGGGCACCCGAGAGGGGGTTTCCAGACATGTCATTGCAGCTGAGATGAGAACTCTCCATCGCATGTAGTCCTTAGCAATATGCTGCGCCTCTCCCCATGTAGGGATGGGTACCGAGCCCCGGTATTAAACGGGCCCCGGGCCGGAATTATTAAAGACAGTGGTAGAGACATTTAAAACATATATGTCATATGTATTATTGCTACATGAACATTATGTTGCAGTTTTAGTTTCGCCAACTCCGTTTCTAATATGCAATAAGACTACAAAATGCGTCTATGATGTATTTTCGATCTTATTTTCGATCTTTCCAATCCAGACGAGAGAGCTCTCTCCTGTGTGCGAGGGGGCGGGGCAGTTTGTAAAGGTCTCCTGACTGTGTTACAGACTGTCATCCTGGTTAGTGGTTACTCTGGGTTCTGTCTTCAGGACAGAGTGTTGGATTTTGTTGTTAATCGGATGGGACTTGATTGGATTCAATATTAGAGCAACTTTCTCGCTTGTGTGTTTTTTTTAAATATATTTGGCCTTTGTTTATGTGTTTGACTGATTGACTCAAATAAAAAGGTTGATGAATTATCATCTAATGATTTGTATGATGTTTTATTTATGTTAAAGGTCACTTTGAATGATTTTAACTAATGATAATGTAGAAAAACAAATATTTTAAATTCGGGACGGTCCACATTAATTTCGGGACGGCTTAGATTGTATTTCGGGACGGTTCCGGGAGGATGGTGAAAAAAGTTAGTCGAGAGCCCTGGTATGTTGAGTTGAGTATATCCATTAGTTTGACATTTAAAGAGAGAAATGAAATGCCTTTAATACCTTTCAGATGCTGCATGGCAGAGTTGTGCTCCCGGACGCGGTGCTGCAGCTGACGACAGGCTTTCTCTAAGTGTCTCTGCAGCTCCTGGTTCTTCTTCTGCAGCTTTCCTAAAGTCTCAGCGCACTCCTTCCTGCAGCGGGCCGGCTCCTTCCTCTGGGACAAAGAGCCTGGAAACAGTGGAGAATATAAGCTTGCTGGTGGGCACTGTAGTGATCAAATAATGAATAGTGTATGTCATACGGACGATCAGAGGGCAATACATACTCTGCATTTGGTCTATTTCTCTCTCATGATGCTCCTGTGTTTCTTTTAACACAAGGCTCAGTCTCTCCTCACTTATCTGTAGGGGAATAAAGGAAAGTGCAACTCATAAGCAAAGTACCACATAGAGAAACAAAATAAAAACATAGCACATTCATAGAAATCATAACTTACTGCACTTTGAATTGCCTTCTGTTGAAAGGTGCTATATAAATGAACTTGCCTTGAGGATTTAAACAGGGCTGTGCATGACTTGATAAAGGAATAAAGTAACAGGCTGATTGTAATGTTTGTGATTTGCAAGCTCCCAAATACTTTACTAACACTATACTAACTACCAAAACATTCATTTCAGTGCAATTCTGCTGTTCATTTATTTCTTTGTCCTGCATTGTGTTCCAACAACCTACGCCCTCTGCAGACTCAGCAAATTGATCATTGAGCAGAGCAAGTCCTCTTAACCTAAATCATTAAACTGATAACATATGGTTTATCTTCAGATAACAGATATTTGCAAAAACACTCACTTTGGTCCATTGCTTCTTGGCTTGAGACACTGCTCTGTTGACTATGTCTCTGCAGGCGGTTTGGATGATGTGTGTGACTGTGAGCTCTGATGTGTCCCCGCTGCTCCTCCTGGGGTCTTCAGTGGGCTGCTGATTTGTTTTGGGATCCCTGAGAAGTTGTGCCTGGACCTCTGACAGAGCCATCTGAAGTTCTGTCATTAATTCATCTCTCGTCTGCTGCCTCTGGACCTGCTCCTCCTCTGCATGCCGACATTTCCACTCCTCCTCCCGGGCCCTCACAGTCTGCTGTAGCTTGGCCTCCGCCTGCAGGAGCAGCTCCTCTCTGTGCAGCGCCGCCTCCCCTCTGGCCTGCTGTACAGCCTGCTCCAGCTTTCTCTGGTACGCCTGCTCACTGCGGGCCAGGGTCACAGAGATCTCCTGTTGTTTGTCTCGGCTCCAGGCTGCTCGGGCTGCAGCCAGCTCAGCCTTCAGCAGCGCCGCATGCTCCCTCCTCCCCTGCTCCACCTGACTCTGCAGAGCTGCCACCTCCGTTTGTAGCTCCTCCAGTCTCTGCTCCTCCAGCTGGTTCTTGTGCTTCTTATTCCACTTCTCCTCTGCCTGGGAAACCTGGCCCATTTAAAATGAGGAATAACACATGATCAGAAAAGAAAAGCCATTTGACAGCATTGTCAGTTTTTACCTCAAAGACAGAAACGGTTCTTACCTGTTGTCCTGTGCGTTTCTCTTGTAGTACTTCCCATTTCTCCATTTCTGTTTGGAGAGCGGCTCGATATTCTGGTAATGACGTCAAATCTTCAATCCAGCGATTGTAGGCCCTGGTTACTGCACCTTCAACCTGAAACACCACCCGTAAGTGTTAATCCCTGATGAAGGCAAGATATCTCAAAACATTTGGGGAATACAGCATTGTGTTTTATTTAATTTGATAACTATTTAGTTTGCTTATTTCATCATCACCATCATCATTTTATTTAACAGGGACAGTGCACATTAATCTACATTTCTGTAAATGTGACAGAGTTAGCCAAGAGGCTATTTTTCATCTGTAGTCCCTGGACAGATTTTGTAAGTCACCCTAAGGACACATTTCATTTCAAACAAGTAAGTACAATCAAATAAAAACATGCAACATACAGTACTGGAAATCTTAATAAATCATAATCCTCATCATAGATAGTGGGATGAATCAGCTAAATCACATAGTTCAGAAATCCAACAAAGAGTAAACAAGAGCTAGCAAGTCTTGCTGCATTGGATTGATTCCAATTGTTCCCACACATTCTAAATGTACAGTAAAGCTATGCGGCTGACTAGCACACATATTGTTAAAGAGCTCACTGACCTGGTTGGCCATGTCGTCCAGATGTTTCTCGTGCAGCTCTCTCTGGGCTTGTTTCCTGGCTTCCTCCACAGCTTTGCGATTGCCTCTCTCAGCCTCCAGGAGCAGCTGCTGTCTCTGGGCACTGAGCCTGGAGTCCAGCTCCTCTGCAGTGATTCTCACACCGCTGGCCTCCGTCTCTGCCTGACAGGAAGCCTCAGCCGTCTCCTTATGTTCCTCTCTCCTAGCCTCCTCCAGCCTCTCCACCCAGGCCTTCTCCATCTGCACAGTAGCAGTAAAAACTTCAATTTCTGACGCAAATTCACTTAAAAGGGAGTTGAGTGCTGAACAGTCATTACAGGAAATCCTACCTTGTGCAGTTCCTCCTCCCAGGCAGCCTTGGCTAAGGCAACTTGAGAGTCCACTTGCTCCTGGATCTCCGTCTCCTTTTCTTTGGACCAGAGAGCTTTGAGCTGTTTTATCGAGGCCTCATGCTGAGCCTCAAGCTCGGCCCTCAGCTTCTCCACAGCTGGGCCACTCGTTTCTCGCATCTTGAGCTATGAACGAGAACCAAATCAAATATTACTCTCAGTACAGGGGTCATCTGTGTTGGAAACAGACATCAGCAACAAATTGCAAGTAGCAATACATTAAACGATTTGGCAATAATAGTAACAATTTTGTGTACCAGCTGACTCAATGTTACAATGTTGATCAACACAAAAACAAACCAATTAAGTGTAGGAACCAACTGCTTCTGATAAACACATTTTAGGATTTGACATACCTCATTTTCTCTGATCAAAGCCTCCTCTTTCTCCAGCATGTCCTTCTCCTTGCAGACAGATATGTAACACTCTTGCACGGCCAACATCTTGTCATTGGCCTCAGACAGCTGTGTCCTGTGAACGAGTGATCAGTACTGTAAATCACTTTCAAGGGTTTTCAGATACCATTATATAACCACTGTTGAGTGAGAGGACTCACTGTAGCTGTTGGAGCTGCTGCTGGTGCTGAGCCGCCAGCTGCTCCACCTGAGCGTCATGTTCCAGCAGGAGCTCGGTTCTGACCCGGTCCACCACGTCGTCCCTGTACTGCTGATGAACACGCTCATCTCTGCAGGAAGACACATAGAAACATGTACATTTATATTAATGATCATTCATATTAAAACATTGCATATTATCTTATACCCTTCCTCGGTGCCTGACCTCTGAGCAGCCTCCTGCTTCTCCTGGTCCAGCTCCTGGATCATCTCCCTCATCTTGGTGCAAAGCTCCAAGTTGGCCGTCCTCACCTTCTCCTCACTCTGTTTCAGCTCCGTATTCTTCATTTCTAACACCTAGAGGTTTGATAGAACACGGTCAGACTTCCGTCAAATAATTAACTAAATATATACAATTATTATTATGTTTAAAAACAACAACTGACCTCCACTTGTTGCTTCAGGTGTAGTTTGTCTTCCTGTAGTCTCACAAACTCTTTCTGAGACTCTCCTGTTAGGTCTAGATGTTTCATCTGACTGTTCTCTCTGACCTGGGAACACAGATGCAGTTTTTGGTGAGTCTTCTTTTGCATTGGAGCCACGTAATCTCATAACTTTTATTTTTGCATTGTCTAATGGTTGTACCATACAATGTTTGAACTGTAACTTTCACGTAATTGGTTTCTTTTTATGCCGAAACAACAAGAAGAGGAAAATAATGTTATATCTTACACAGGCTCTGCCCTCTACTGGACTCTATGGGTACTACCTCTCAACCATACCATGCAAGCATTCACCTACTGAGATATCTATAAACGTAGCCGGCCCCCGGGGCGGGCCTACCTGAATGCGCGCGCAAGCTCACCGTATAAAAAAAGCGGCCTCACCTCCTGACTGCCATCCTTTTCTCTTCAGCGAGCAGGATAACAACTGACGCGTAAACGGAGAAAAGAAAGAAAGAATTTGAATCAAGATGGATTCACCACTCCTTGAGCCCCGGCCCTGTCCTGTCCTTCATGCCCTGGCTTAATCGCGGGTGCTGATACCCACCGCCTCTGCTTTGAGTGTCTGGGGCCTGACCACGCCGCGGACGGCCTGACCCAGTCTCCGGCCTGCAATGCCTGCCCCCACGGCTCAGCCGCCGGCATCGTCTGGAGCATTTTCAGGCATATTATGTCTCGCCGGAGGAGGCGGAGGACCAGGATCTCGAGGTGGTGGAAATGGAGGAACAGGATGTCGCGGGAGAGGTGCCATTCGTGTTCGCCATTCCGGCGGGTCGGGCGGCCCTGTTCGTCGAGGAGGAAGACGACGAGGACGCCTCGTTGTCTGGTGCTTCCGGGTCCGGTGTCCAGGAGGGTCCGCCACACAGGTCTGCGCGTCAAGACTTCCCTGCGGTGATTACCATGACCAGAGCGTGTAGGCGTACCGCTCCCCCCGCCACTGCCACCGTACAGGCCACTGTAAGCCGCCTTCGTCAGGGGTTCTACGGCCCGGTGCGTCCGGCGCAGGCGGGGGGAGTCTTTCTCACTATTTTTCATGCACACTCTTCACGAGGTAAGCGTGTCTAAGTGTGCTCTACCAGCAAAGTAAACTGCGGCCCCGTCTTCTCCACGGTCACAACCGGAGGAGAAGGAGTTGCGGTGCAGTGGCTGTTAACCAAAAGCCGGTCAGGGGCAGTGTGATGGGCCGATGTTGTTGGACGACAGCGCGTTTATGCATCAGGGCTCCGCCCACTGTACCCATAGAGTCCAGTAGAGGGCGGAGCCTGTGTAAGATATAACGACGGGTTACGTATTGTAACCCTAGTTATATAAGCACAGGCGGAGCCCTCTACTCTGGGCCCTGTCTGTCCTATGCCGCTCGCTGAAGAGGGTGTAGGATGGCAGTCAGGAGGCGAGGCCGCCTTTTATACAGTGAGCTTGCGCACGCATTCAGGTAGGCCCGCCCCGGGGACCGGCTACGTTTAGACAGGGTTCATACACTTTTTCACCAATGATTTTCATTGACTTTTCCATGACCTTTACCTAATTTTCCATGACCAAAAAAATTACTCTTTCTCAGCGGTACCACTGAAAATGGTTTATTTTAACATGGAACAAGAAAATAAGGTCTGCATATGAAACATGTTGTGCCTATCTAAAACAAATGAAATAGTTGGCTTACTAGCTTCTATACGCTAAAGCAACTCAAATCTCTCACCAGCAAAATGCCATTTTACGTTTCATTACTATACGATACAGTATTTATTATCATTATAGTATTACTATTTCGGCGATTAGCTAAAATATAAATTATATTTGATGCAACTTTAGTTAAATTTCCATGACTTTTCGAAAACTTTGGGAAAAATATTGTTTTCCATAACTTTTCCAGGGCCTGGAATTTGCATTTTGAATTTCCATGACTTTCCCAGGTTTTTAATGACCGTAAGAACCCTGTATAGCTATCTCAGTAGGTGAATGATTGCATAGTATGGTTGAAAGGTAGTACCCATAGAGTCCAGTAGACGGCTCCGCCTGTGCTTATATAACTAGGGTTACAATACGTAACCCCTCGTTATGCTTCCAGGTCTAAATTAATGGCTGCAAGGAGAATTGATAGTGTGGCAAAAAATGTATAATGATTAATAATGAAAATACAAATAAAAACCTTTAGGTAAAAACAGATCTTTCCGTCCACTTAATGTTGCCGATTTGTCTTTTATGAGGTCAGTATGGTAAATTGCAACATACTGTATGTTATCGCAAGTATCTTATTGTCACTTAAGTATCGTGATAATTTGTATTATTATATTTTTCACTTCTGTTTTAATCAGAAAGAAATACAATTACCCTTTCTACCTAAATCTAACTAATGGCTATCAGTGTATACCAGGCTTTACAGTTTGAAATGGCCTTTCTCAGCAATGCATCATTAAGTCTCTGGTCAAGAAGAAGGCCTCACCGAAGAGCAGAGTTTGGCTTCCTCTAGCTGGTTCTGCAGCTCGCCCACTCGGTCCTGACAGAGGTGTAGCTCCTCCTGCAGCTGACTGATCTTCTGCCGCTTCCCCTTCAGGCTCCCCAGGCAGCGCTGCATCTCCCCCCGCAGCAGCCGCACAGCTTCATCTTTGGGCAGCTTGGAGTCCGACAGGTGAGCCAGGGCGGTGCTGAACAAACAAAATGGGTAGATTTAGATTGATAGGAGAGGTGATATATACTAGCACTCATTAGAAAAAAGACAAAATGACACAAAGACATTATAATGATGTCAGTGATTTGGCTTTATTATCATGGTGTACCTGTGAAGCAAGCCATTCTTCCTGTTTGCTTTCTTTAGTCCTAAATCTACACAGGAGTCAGACAGCTGGTTGTCCCAGTTGCTGCTCTGCTCTAACGCAATAACACCGTGCTTCACAGCAGATTCATAAATCATGATCTGCTCCTTTAACTCCGCCAGATCCTCCTGTAGGATAAAAATAAAATAAGAAAAGTTTTAATCAACTTAGTTCAAGCACAGCATCATTTCAGTAATCCTTTTTCTGATGGTGGTTCCATTCAGGTGCAGAAAATAGTGAGGGCAAACCTGGAGGACTGTGTTCATGTTTTCACTCAGCGCTTTGGTTGATTGAGCCTGTTGTAGTTTGATTTGTATCCGACTCATCTCCTGCACTGAGCCTAAAGAAATAGAACCACAACAAAGAGGAAACAATGATTTGCAAATAAGAAAACAGAAGATGCTCTTTCGAGTACATGCAGTCCAGATTCTATCACCTGTCTGCAGCAGCTTGGCACATTGTTGCTGACTCTCCTCCAGACGCTGAGTCAGCGCGTTGACCACTCTGGCTCTCTCCAGCTGCTCCTCTTCTCTCTGGCGCTCCAGCTGCTTCACATGCTCCCGTAACCTCTGATCAACATCAATCTGGAATCAACAACACAAGAAAACAGGTGTTGACTATGTCTGCAGGCCACTTGGACTAAATCTCCTGTGACAGCAGCAGTAGAGACCTGTTCGTTCAGAACCTGAGCGGTAGACTCTAGTTTCTGCTGTAGTGTCAGCAGCGCTGCCTCGTGCTGCTCCTTCATGACGGTGAGGTCTCTGTCGTGCTGCTGCCGCGTCTTGGACAAAGTGTCAGAGCGACAAAGCTCCAACATCTGCTGCTTCATGCTGTCCAACGCAGCCTCTGCTACTCTCTGCTTCCTCGTGTTCTGCAGACAAAATGAAGCTACTGTATACCAAATCCATTTCAGTCATAGGGTTAAAATGAAGATAATACAACTTTTTTCATGTTTCAGAAAACGACACTAGCAGCAAATTGGATTTTTTTTTCTTTCATCCTTAATAGAAGATCACCTGGTGCTTTGTATTTAGCTTTAAACATTTAAGACGATGAAAATGGGAAAACAGTGGTGCTCAGAACGTACCTCCTGGTCTCTCTCAGTGAGGACCTTTACTTGCTGCTCCATTGCCCTAAATGTATTCAGCATTTGAACCTCTCTCTCCTTGGCCTCTTCAACCAGTTGACCCGATTCCGTCAGGCTTACTGCTAGGCCATCCTTTTCATCTATTGATGATAAAAAAAAAAAAAAAAAATCATGTTTCCACAAGAAGCACATCCAGCTAGAGCTCAAAACACAGACTGTGTCTGTGGATACTGCCAACCCTCCTAACAGCCACAAGAGGGCAAATATAATATGCAAGTGCGAATAAATCCTATTGTATTTACCTTTTTTAATCAAGTTCATATATTGGTAGATAACCAGCCACTGTTTTTAAACTTGGATTTAAAAAACATCTAATTTGGAAAGTGTCAAACACAATGGTCAAAAATAGAAAAAAAAACAATTCTTTCAAAGTGAAAGTCCCTCATTATCCTACAGGCAGCTTAGAGTGATAAGTATTTATTCACAGTTGAAGTGATTTGTTTAATTTCCAAAATAATACATGTAAGAAATTGGAACAACATATAATAACTTTCAACAACATTATATTTAAATGACATGATGTTACATGGGCAATGTACAGTAGTAAAGTGAAACATTTTGCATCCTCCATTGTGTGAAACATACCTTTGGCAATTGCAAACTGATGCTCGATATATCTCATGTTACGCCTTGAATCCTCCAGTTTTCGCTCCAAGTCCTCAATTTGCCTCTGCTGAGCTTTGTTCAAAATCTGCACCTGGGCAAGCTGCTCCCTATCAGCAGTTTCTGAAACACAGCACAACATTTATGTTTACACATCACTCTCTTACCCTCAATTAAAGCACAGTAATGATTGTTCAGCAATGGCATGAGAGGTTGTAGCCATGTAGGCATGTCAGAGTAGGTTGTACATAAGTAAGAGCAACTAAAACACGCCTGTGAGACTCACGCTGGGCAGAGTCGAGGAATTCTCTTTGCAGATGTTCAAATTGACCTTCTTGGTGGACGGCCTGTGTGTTGAACATCTTTGGCTGATGAGCAGGATGGTGAGGATTGTAGCTGGCCGTGTGATGATCCACTCTGTCCAACGCCCCCGACTTTAAATTCAGAATATCAAAAAAGAAGAATGCAGTATGTTTGAAATAAAAAGTATTACCCATTTGATAACTCAAAAATAAACCAATTCAAGGATATACTACTTTCTGTTTTTCCAACACATAATGAAATTGTAAAGCATGTCAACGACTGTTGGACTTACGGGTATTAAGATGTTCATTTTAAATGATTAGAATGAAAGTGTATGTATATGTCATACACAATTAAATTACATTTTAAAACCAGATGTATGAAATAATATTAAAAAAACATCTGCAATAACAAAATAAAACAAACATACTCACAGGAAAATGGTTAATGCCGTTGTGAACTCCGTAATGTTGATCGTCCCTCCGTCCCGCCTCTCCATTAAACACCACAGGGTTATTAGTGCCTGGAGGATATGGTTTGGACTCATACTCATCTGCAGAGAAATCATTGGTAGATTTCTCGGTGCCGATGCTGGTGTACGTATAATCCCCCTGGGTGAACTGATGGTCTTGGTTCCAGGTTTGAGGTTGAGGCTGAGTTTGAGGGTGATGTCCATTGATCTGAACCGCTCCATCCTGATAGTTGTACTCGTCCTGGGAGCGTTGATCACAGTCAGGTTCACAGTTCTTCAGAGAGACAGTGACAGTAAGAGTGAGGTTTTCAGCTTCACAAGATAACATATCTATGGGTGAAACAGAAATAACAACCTACCTGTTCATGAGAAGTTGGCCTTTGTTGGGTCCAAGTGGACTGTGGACTGAGAGGATGAAGGCAAAGTAAGCATATTTATACACTCAACAAATGTAAGTATGTTGATAGTTTCGGACCACAGCCAGAGTATGGTTGCAACAAATTAATATTTTCATTCTTAAGTTATTAGCTAATTATTTTCTTTGATTAATTGTATTGAAAAAATGTCGTGTGTGTGTGTGTGTGTGTGTGTGTGTGTGTGTGTGTGTGTGTGTGTGTGTGTGTGTGTGTGTGTGTGTGTGTGTGTGTGTGTGTGTGTTACCTGTTGCCAGTGTTTTTATTGGTGCAGGTAGTGTACTCCAGCTCTGGGGAGGAGGAGTCAATGCTGTCCTCCAGCATGTCATCGGGCAGGTCGGTGAGCAATTTGTGCAGCTGCAGAAAAATAGCACATGGAAATGAGTCCCCGAGGTTGCTCAGCAACTGAGTTATAAAGTAATGCAAATAGAAAAAAAATCAGCACAGAAAATAAATCACTGACAGCCTGAGAGACAGAAGGTGCCAGAGAAAACATCAACCAAAAAATGTGTTTGTCTTAACTGGAATAAGGCTGAATGTTGGCGCTGAAAACACAGTGTGCAGTTTTTACAGTTCACAGTAATTTAGTTATTCCATGTGTTGTTTTTAATCAGGTATTGTTTATGGAATTTATCAAGGAAAAGTCTCAAATATTATCTGGTTTAAATGTGGTACTTTTAGATAAATCAGTTATAAAAAGGTAATGGTTAGTTACAGCGTTGTTAGTTGAACTGTTTCTATTACATTTGCTAATTATTCTTTTGGTTCATACAATCAAAAATTGAGATACAAAACACCGACAACGAATTTTAGTAAAACATCTTAGCTCTTAATAACACAAAAACAACAGGTTAGATCCACCTCTGCGTCAGCACCAACTGACCAGGCTTGCTTTTTATAACAGGCCATGTGTTAGCAGAGCCAGCTGAACTTACTTCTAACAATGACTGCTGAATAGTCCTCAAATCCTCCACTGTGTCCACAACCAAAGGACCCATATTGTCCCGCTTGGAAATTTAACAAAGATTGAGGAGCTAAGCCGCAAAACCTCCTCGCCTAATCGTTCTGAAGAGAAGACGTTCTGTGTGAAATATCCAAAACGGGCCTGGCATGTTGTTTGGCCCGCTGCGGTATTGCTGGGTTTTGCTCCCAAAGGACTCCATTGTTTAGACAAAACATATAGCAAGGTTAACTGGAGCATGAAACATTCCAATTACTGGTGGCAAACCTTTTCCACTTGATCAAGTTCTGTATAGGAAATAGGCTATCCCAAAAAAAGAAATCCATTTGAAAACGTTTTTTTAAAGTCCCATTCTTCTGATTACTGAAGCGCACAAGTAAGACATTTGTCTTTCTTAAGTAACTCAAGTACAAATAAAGCCATGCACAGAAACAAAGTAACCTAAATAGAGAGAAAGCAGGGAATCCACAGGGCAGAGCTAGTTTCTGTGTGACACACCTGGAAGGAGCCAATAATAGCTCAGGTTCATGGTGCAACAGATTGTAGGCGTGAGTACTAAGACAACATGCCTGTCTAGCTGGGAAGCTGCGGTGCTTGTGAAATTCTGATTCAAGTGCATGAACTCAGAAGAACAACAAATAAGGACCTGACAAATGCAATGCTCAACAAAGGAGCACAACTATATTTTAAATATATCAACAAGGAGAGGAACATAATATCACAGAGACAGGTCATGCCTAACACACTGCCTATACCACATGTGATTGTATTTTATAATACAAGCATGCCCTGGATATCTCCTGTCGTCTGATGTGCTTGATAAATACTTTTTTGACTTAACCAGCACGAGCTCAATAAATCACACTAAGTTAACAGTAACAAAAACACAGCGGCAAGTGACACCAAAATATCCAACAACTTGGCACATACACAACTGTAAAACAAACGTTATCCCAACAACTTTAAAACGCTGTAGCTTTGAATCCTACCTCTTGCTCTCTTGCATAGTCCTCCTGGTCATACTCTTCTTCTTCATCATGCTGGGTTTGCAGGGCAGCACTGTCAAACTCAATAGACATGATGCAAAGTCTGCAGAGGGTTCCCTGGGAGAAGAGCAGAGGTGGAAGAAGTACTCAGAACTTGTGCTTGAGTAAAAGTACCAGAGTGTAGGAATACTCTGTTACAAGTAAAAGTCCTGCAATCAAAATGTTACTCACGTAAAAGTACAAAAGCATTAGCATCGAATTATACTTAAAGTTCCAAAAGTAGAAGTACTAATTTTGCAGATTGGCCTTTCAGAATAATATATACACTATTATATGTTTTGATTATAATTATTGATGCATTAAAGTGTTATCAAAGCTAGTAACGGTGAAGCTAGTTGTAATGACTTTGTATGTTACAGGGTAGCTTGTGAATGTTACTCCAGGTGTAACGCAAGTCTTATTTAAGTATTGATTATATTTCACATCGTTGATCCAAATCTGCAAAGCAACTAAAGCTATTGAATAAATGTATTGGAGTAAAAGTACACTCTTTACCTCTGAATTGTAGTATCAAAACATTGAAATACTAAAGTAAAGTACAAGTCCCTCAAAATTATACTTAAGTACAGTACTTGAGTAAATCTACTTAGTTACTTTACATCACTGGAAAAGAGGTAAAGAAAACTCAAAGAGGGAAACCACTAACAGCCAGGGAGAATATTAGTAAAGGTTAGTGTTACCGATAAAGGATGGTTAAATAGGCTATCATGTAAAGTAAACGTAAGTTATTAACACATCGCATCCACTTACCTGTTGGTATAAATGGGACAGCAGTCTCCTTTGATGAGTCGCTTATCCTCTTATTTCAGGGACGTTTTTAGCTAACCGCTAGCCACATTACTGTTTACCTACATTACAAAGCAGCGACGCTAACTTTAGCTAACTAACTTGCGTTCATATTAGCTTGCCTTAGAAAACAACGAGCCCGATAAACACCTAAAACCGAACTGACCATGCTTTGGAAAACTTACGCAGAACACGTTTGAGTAAATACGTGTAATCGTATGTCAATAAAAAAAGTTTAGCATCCGTTTTGTGGTGAATCTGTATGAGCACTATGTTGTTGGGGTTACTTTAAACTAGCTGTTGGCTAACTCCGGTTAGCCGGTCGGACGTCCTCTTTTAGAGACTCGCCCACTTTGAAAACTCCCGCGCACTAGCAGCGCCAAACCACTGGGTCCTAAAGGCAGAACACAGAGATTATATTTATACACATACATGCATTATAACACCGACATACGTATACTAGTTTAATTTCCATTGTCGATAGAACAACTTGCAGGATATAAACTATTACATAATCATTATTGTTGCTGCTTCGAACTGCTTCGGAATTGAGACGCTATCCAGGACTCCATGGCAACAGCGCGTCTAGGTTTATGGGAAGTGTAGTCACCTTGATCCTTAATAACAAAGCTGGAAACTCATATTAGCAGCTGTTACTATGTGATGATAATAACGCTGAAAATGGGATCTATGATTACATTTTACATTTAGAATTACAGTGCACATAATCCATAATGTTAATCCTTAATCAAAGATATTGCTTTGGTTTTCGTCTAAGTGAAAGGATGTAGATGCTGTTGTATAGAACTCTTTTCATGGAAACAATATCGTTTTTTAACATTGTATTCCCATCTTTTTGTAAAACAGTGACTTAAATATTGAAATTATTTTGTGTTTTTATTTGCCAACCTATAAGGACGGTGCAAGTTTATTTACTGTAGATTTATTATATATTTGTAATCACCATTATCACTTCCATGTATTAAACTGAATTAATTATGTTGAGTTGTTGAGTACATGTCTGAATGTTTGTACATTTCAATGTTTTTAAATAAAGATTTAAAAAAAAAAAACGTCTCTTCTCCTCCCGACACTTCCGTGTTTTTGCAGCTGCAGCATAAACTGCTTCCCGATCAGCTCCTCTGTTACAAACAGGAACTTGCCTTCTATTAACTGAGCTGATCTCAATTTTAAGAACTGACTGCAGTTCAGCTCTTCGACATCCGGGATCCTCTTGTGACAGTCAGCTGATCGCGGCAGGCTCTGCAAACAGATCCTGTCTGACTACAAGAGACCGTTCATAGTTATTTTAAAAAGAAGGTAGAAATGGCTGCAGACCCACCGAAGTTAAAGACAGTGATTGCTGCCAATGAAAGGTAAGTAACAGAAAGATGTGCTAATTTTCAGTAAGACAGGGGATTTGGGTAACACATGTGATACTCTTTTCATTTCTTTATGTGTATTTCTTTACACAGGCTGCAAAACTTGAAGAATACTTTTGAGACAAAGTATGGAGAACCTCCTCTTTTCTATGCATGTGCCCCTGGAAGGGTCAATCTAATAGGTAATGTTATTGTATAAAGTATGCTTTGAGGTTGACTATACTGTAGGTGTGCCTTACAGTTACACTTATCTCATGTTGCTGTTTTTGCCAGTTAAGTAAGTTAATTACAAAAAATGCAAATAAACTATTTTTTCCTAAAACAATGTTTACACTTTACTAAGATTGAGTGTTACAATGTTTGTATGAATTAGGAATAGCTTCTGCTAATGACACTCTTTGTTCATATATCTCATATTTGACAGGAGAGCATATTGATTACTGTGGCTATTCTGTTCTTCCCATGGCCATTGAACCCAGTATTCTCGCGGCTGTCTCTTTAAACAACTCAGGGAAAATCACACTGGCCAACGCAAATCCTCTGTACACGTAAGCTTGATCATTCACATTTACATTGACTGAGCCTGTGAAGCTAAGGAGTTTATAATACATTTACAGCATCCATCATCTGCTTGCAGGGATTTCACTGTGTCGTGTTCAGAGGACATTGCCATTGACAGAGATAATCCAAAGTGGTATTATTACTTTCTCTGTGGAGTAAAAGGTATAAAGGTAAAATACAATTATTCCTCATCCAGGAAAATTAAGTATACTGTGGTAGAGTGTTGCTTTCCACAAATTAATGGAATTAATCTACCTGTTTGTTTTTTTACAGGAGAATTTTGGGATTGCTAACTTAGCGGGGATGTCGTGTGTCGTAGAAGGAACCATTCCTCCGAGCTCCGGCCTCTCCAGTTCCAGTGCCTTAGTTTGTTGTGCTGGGCTCGTAACAATGGAGGCAAATCAAAAGTCCCTCTCCAAAGTAAATGCATGGGGAAAAAAACATTTAAATTCAAAGAGCTATATATACTGTATGTTCATTTTTAGTTTATTTATAGCACATTTCAGCAACGGGGCAGTTAAAAACTAGAAAGCAATTGAACAACAAAAGCATTGAGACAAAGTACCAAAGAAACACTCCACAAAAAGACATTCAAGTAATACAAAAACAAGACATTTATAAGAAGCAAGAATAAAACTTACAGTGCAGTGTAAGAATCTTTTAATATTTCATACTGTATATCTGTAATGGTCAAAACGTGGCTGTTGAAATTCAGGTCTGAGTCAATGACCACTACAAGATTTTATGAAACAAGGCTCTCTTATACAAGGAATTGTCATTCCTACCTTCAAAACAAACCTATTATGTGCCTGTCTTTAATGCCCTTAGTCAATATGAGAGGGTATATTGTCAATTTCAAAAGTTTTATTCATATCATTTTTTATTTCCAGGTGGCACTGGCTGAGATATGTGCCAAAAGTGAACGCTACATTGGCACAGAGGGAGGCGGCATGGACCAGTCCATCTCATTCCTGGCAGAGAGAGGAACTGTACGTTGCTTTACTTTCAATACATTTGGGAAAGAAATGATCAGGATAATTTGTTCATCAAAACTTTTAATACAATAATAGAAGTTAATTGAAAAATGCAAGAATAAATGTCTGTTTTATTGTCCCTTATAAGTACTGACATGAATTATGGTTTGTTACAAAAAATGTTTTAAATCTCTGTCAGGCCAAGCTGATAGAGTTTCAGCCTCTGCGAGCCACGGACGTAAAGCTCCCAGATGGAGCCGTGTTTGTGATCTCTAACTGCTGCGTGGAGATGAACAAAGCTGCTTCTGCTCACTTCAACATCCGAGTGGTGGAGTGTCGAATCGCCACGAAGGTACAGTGATGCTGTCCAATGGTTCTCAACCTGATCCTTGATGGGCAAAGGGTGATTTTTATAGAAAGCAAGTTTATGACCATGCCTCTGTCTTTAGACGTGCTTGCTGTTAAATCACTATTTGCTTGTACCTTTCTTTATACTTTATTGTGAATATACATCCTATGATAAGAGTCTTTAAACAGGTTTAGAACCAGCAATCTGATTGCATGGTGAATCTGAACTTTAAAGAAAACAAATATTGATTGATTTAATGTTTATAAAGAAACCTGTCAACATAAATATTTCGTCCATAAACGTGATGTAATATCTCCAAATGGGGTTTATTTTTTAAGCAATAAGGTTTAGTGCAGGTCTTCATGAGCAGGTCTCCCTTGAAAAAGAGATCAATGATCTCAAGAGATTCACCTGGATAAATAAAGGTTTGAAATGAAATGAAATGAGTGCAAATCTCAATTCAAAGGAACCATAAGAACACAGAAATATTAGGAGATGGACGATCCTTTTAACTTTAGCATCATCTGGCATGAATGAAAATCACATTTTCTCATAGACTTGTTGTCATTATGCCCCCTTTGTTGAAGCAGTTGATTTAATTAAGTAAATAACCTGCATCTGTGTTGTGTCACACTTGCCTGAAAACATTTAATCCTATTTTCAATACGATAACTGTGAGAGAGTTTGTTGTTTCCTAACAATTCTTATGAATTGAATTCTGGAGCAAATATGTGTGATTATCAATTTCAAGTGGAGAGACGGGTAAAAAGTCCCACATTTGAATGTCTTTCTGTGTGTGATCTGTGAACTCAGATGCTGGCGCAGGCTCGAGGTCTGGACTCGGGCAGGATGCTGAAGCTGGTGCAGGTTCAGACGGAGCTGAAGGCCTCCCTGCAGGAGATGCTGGCTCTGGTGAACGAGGCGTTGCATCCTGAGCCGTACAGCCGAGAGGAGATCTGCAAGGCGCTGGGCATCACCCCCGAGCAGTTCTCCACAGAGCTGCTGAGCGCCAACACTCAGCAGGGTGAGAAACACAAACACATATATGAGTCATGTTTGTAGTTTAATGAGTGGATTGACAGGTTAGATAATGACTAATTAAAAGGTGATCTCGCTTAATATTCATCAATTGCTGGTGAAATAGGGACTTTTGTAATCTAAAGACATCGTTTTTTCCAAGTTCGGACTAGACGGAAATTTTAAAAAGTGGTTTAGGTTCTGGTTACATTTTCAATTATTCAAATGTTTTTGTATTTGTAGCAATAATAACTTCAACCTTGATCTAGGATATAACGATTTAAAATATTAATACAGTGTTGTGATGTAACACTAAATGGCATCTAGAATTAAAGTTATTTTCAAGTAGGGGTGTAACGGTATGAGACCGTCACAGTACTATATCCATGTGAGAAAAATGTCACGGTACATACGATTAATTCACACTCATTTTCAACTATCTGCTGATAAGTAGCCACCAATTCTGAGGTTTTATTCTATTAAGTTATTAACATTCATGGGCCTAAATATCCTCAAAAGACAAACAAATTACTCTAAAAGCATCATTACATTTGACTGATATTAAAGCTTATGTTCAGAAACTCCAATAACACCAACCAGATGAATGACCTGACAACCTCTTCTCCTCTCTCTCAGAGACACACTTCAAGCTGCACCAGCGAGCCCAGCATGTGTACGGTGAAGCTGCGCGGGTGCTGCAGTTTAAGAGTGTGTGTGACTCTGAACCTGCTGAATCCGTCCAGCGACTGGGAGATCTGATGAACCAGAGCCATGCGAGCTGCAGAGGCCTGTATGAGTGCAGCTGCCCTGAACTGGATCAACTGGTGGACATCTGTCTGTGAGTACAGCCTACTAATACAGACTAACTCTCAGGACAGACAGTATGGGATCAAATTAAATATTGACCATTGCAGTTTTAGGGATTTGATTAACATTACGATTAAGGAACACTTTAGGCACATTTGTAAGTTGTGTGGCTGAATTTTCATTTTTAGCTGTTTCAGTGTCAGTGTCAGGGTCCTGGTGTTCTGCAGGTTTGCTTCCACTTCAATACTTTTCATACCAACTTAACTTTTACTGTTTTGATGCAACAAATCAACAAAATACTAAACCATTATATAGTAACAGAACATGATGAAGTATGTTCATCAAACATACATAAATCATGGTAAATTGGTGACCATGGTAAATATAATACCTGCCTACAATAGCATCTGAACATGTTGGTGTTAGCATTTAGCTCAAAGCAAAGTAAACAGACTTCTTATCTTTATTTGTATATTTCGTGCTGGTTGGTCAGCTGTAAATGTAGCCCTGTGTACTGTATGCAGTGGGTTCAGAAATATTGTCTTTATTGATAAACTGACTAAAAAGCTTCTTCTTGTTTCCCTTCGCAGGAAGTCGGGGTCAGTGGGCTCCCGGCTGACAGGAGCAGGTTGGGGCGGCTGTGCTGTCTCCATGGTTCCCGATGAGAAGGTGGAGTCTTTCCTAAAAGCAGTGAGCGAGGCTTACTACCGCCCCAATCCACGCAGGGCAGGGATGGAAAAACAGAGTTTGTTTGTGTCAAAGCCGGGCGGGGGGGCCGCCATTTTCATTGAGGAGTAAAATACATCCTCCAATATTTACAGCAATCCTTCAATCACATATTTTGTTTACCTTATTCAGATCGCTCTTAACTTTAATGAAATAATCCAATATGTAAACTTTACTCTTGTTTAAAGTGACAACAATGGTGAATAATTTGTTTCAAAGGGAATCGGATTTTTGTAATTGATTTTTTACAATTGAATGTATCATTGTTCAGCTTAGAGAAGAAGAGATGACAAATAAAATAATAATGAAGTTACATTTGTGCTGCTGTATGAAATCCATTCATAATTTGAATTTTCTGTTTACATTTTATATATAACAACACAATACAATAAGTAACTACTAACTCTCAGATTGTATTTTGTTAAAGGTGTGAGAGCCACTGGGAAATAATAAGGGTAGAAAAGTTCTGATTATATCACATATCAATATCACTTCATTGTAGCAGTGATGTTAGAGGCTCAGTGGTCAGGTAGGCGCACTGTACTGCACTGACTGTAACTGCAGCATCTGCATTAACATCTGTCTATGATTTTATCACATTGTACCGCGTCCAGGCCGATTCCTCTTTTACTTTCTGGTCATATATGTCCACTAAATATTTTTATAGATAAAATAGTTTTTCAAGCACTGTATTCATCTCATCTTATGTTGAGAACCAAATTGAAAAAGTTTGGAGTTTGATCATTCAAATGTTGTGCAGCAACTGAACAATGTTCAAAGTGAAGGACAAATCTTTTAAGATAAAATATGAGTTTTTAACACATTTGTTGGAACGAAAGCAGGCCAAATAATTGTTGAATATCAAATAAAAAAAGATTGATTATCTTTAATAGGAACGATTCAAGGCGAGGCATGGGGAGAACGCACACATATATTGGCAGATGTGTAGTCAGTAAAATGCATTAAAATCAATAAATAAGTTCATATCACCTTCAGCAGTTTTATGTCAGTATTTAAGAAACACATTTTAGCATGATGGAGTCTGTTTGAGGGGAGTTTTTCAGTGCATTGACTTACAGAAGAGTCTTATATACTTTTAGTACTCGTGCTTTGGGCTTTCTTAACTTGTGTTCCATGTATTATGTTTGTGACAATCAGAAAATTAAATCATTCAAATAAAATTGAATAAATCCACCAACCACTCAGTTAAGGTAGTACAAGGATGTCTTTCTTTTTGGCAACTCATACATAATGTCTTAAAATATATCATCTGAGTTTGCCCATTAACCAAATTCCTTACATAATAAAGGTTTTAAAGTTGTCCATTATCAGTTTTTAATCAGATGGCTTTTTTGGGGGCAAAATTGTTCCTCTAGATAATCTTATTTGACTGGCTTTTAATATTTAAATATAATCCACATTCACACTAAAGTAAAAAAAAAATGAGGTAGGCATGTGAAGATTTGAGCATAGATTCACCCAAATGAAGGACACTCATACGTTGTGCTTAGTCTGTGTGAACCATGCTTTTGGTGACCTGAAGTGTAAACAGTGTCTGTAGGTCAGAGCTAAAGTTCAGTTTTCAGTCTGTTTTTGCTGGTGCTTCTGTGATTTCATCAGAAATGCATGAGACTGCGTTCTTTCTCTTCAACATGTTTTCTATCCAGGTGGAGCTTTGTGGTGTCCTTCCAGGCGAGCCAGTATAAGACGCTGTGCTCATCTTCATGTTTTTTCCTGAGGTAATGAGCTCTCCGTAGCCCTGCTGGTGGGGAGAAGGCATACGCAGAGCGGTGGGAGCTCGTCCTGCGAACTCTCCTCAGGCTCTGCTCCTGAGGGCCCTGCCTCCTTCTGAACTGTTGGACATGACGAACCTGTCCAAATACAAGGTGGAGGAGGTACTTTGATCCTTTACTTAAATAAAAGTAGTAATACCACAATGAAAATACAATAATACAATAAAATACAATAATAATAAATACAATATCTATATAGTAGGCTATATATTTAGATATTTAAATGTATAATATTTTCTATTTAAAAGTATTAATAGCAAATTGCACAAGTATTCAAAGTAAAAGTATAGTTCTGCATAAAGTGTTCAATGTGACTGGCAGATATATGACATTTGTAGACTGTTTAAACTGATATATCAATGTTTAAGTAGCTAACAATTCACAGATATCTTAATTAGACAAGGATCCCCAACTCAATTAAAGTTAAAAAGGCTGGGAACATCTGGTTTAATTTTTTTATAAATTGTACTATCTTAGCAGATAATTTCTTCTTGTAAACTCTTTATCTGTAACTAGTAACTTAAGCTGTCAAAGTATAGGAGTAGGCGTAGTGAAGCAAAACAAAATATATTCAACATGAAATGTTGTGAAGTTTAAAAAAACGTTGTTAACATCAAAGTTACTGTACCTTATATGTTAGAGTTGGGAAGAGCTCTACTCTCAGGAAGCTGACTGCCATGCCGGGCACCACACACACCACAGAGGTGAGCAGAATGACCAACCACACACTCTTCTCCGATAGACAGTTTCGAGCTGTGCCTGAGGACACACATTTATCTTAAAGTGAATTTCAGTGCATCAGTATTCATTCTTCACATTTATCCAAATGAGCCAAACTTACCTACGAATGGGAAACTACTTGTAAAGATGCCAAACATGCCATCACTTTGCATGGCAAACAATATGGCAAAGTAGACTATCAGGCTCCCCCATACGAAGAAGTGATTGACGACAGTCCAGTAGTGTGTGTCGAGTCCAATCTACGAACAGATACATGCACCATAAACAGAGCGTTTAATTATCTCATCAACACTGATTTTGTCTGTTTATGCTCTTACCTGAACAGTCACGACAATGACCAAGGATGTTGCTATGGTAACAGCAAACACTTGTTGGTCAGAAATGTAGGAGCCGTCCTCTTTCACCATGACAGAGAAGGCAGCGTAGGGAATGAAGAAGAGCAGGGATGATGTGCTAACCCCCTGCAGCGTGCACAGGAAGAACTGGCGTTTGTTGAAGAAAAGGTTTTGCTGGCCTGGTTTGTAGAGGCTCGGGTAGTGAAGGCTGTTCTGGTCACTGACATCCTGTAGGAAATATCACCAGAGTTATGTGGTGTTATAATAGAGAATGGTAGGGATATGGTATACAGTTAGTATTGATGGCTCAATGCTAGTTTTCTTTGGCAGATTTTAAGTCCAGTGGCATACATGTACAATTGTTATCAAGTTAGGGATTCTAGCCAAAGTTATATTAAGTTTAGTACTTCATGTGGTGTTAGATATTTGGATACCAATCAATACACATTAAAAGAGGTTGAAGTAATAATATTTTGACTTGTTTAGCTTATTTTAAAAGAATAAGGCAATTTAATATTGCCAATATAATTATTACCTGATCGAAAAGTCCCATCGCCAGGACTGGTAAAGATGTGTAGACTATATTGAAGAGGGTAATGAACCACTGGTCATACACAGTCTGTGGAAAGAGGATAGCAATATACTATACATTATTAAAAACAAATGTGGAAAGGTTTGTGCCTTTAAATCAAAGCCCCTTTGAAAGATCAGGTCAGGAGTGTGTAGCCAAAATCAATAGTCCGATTTCAGAGTAACCAAAAAAATGATGATGTCCACAATTAGCTCATCAGTGTCAGTATTCTTACCTGAGCTGAGAAACCACAGAAGAAGCCGTACCAGAAGTGTACCAGTGTGAAGGCAAAGTTCTTGTAGAAGAAGTACCACAGGAAATTACACATGCGGAAGTAGGACCAGCGCCCGTGAACCAGCAGGAGGCGCCGCAGGTACCGAAACTGAGCGAAGGAGTAATCTGAAGCCAGAACCGCCTGCATTCCCTCCTGACCGCTGATGCCAACACCAATGTGAGCAGCTGAGGAAGAAACAGCAGAGTGGATCACTGACCTTTGAAACTAAAGGTAAGCTATTTATTTGTTCAATTGTCATACACCAAAAGACTGGCCAGGGCTTTCTAGATACTATAAACATAAAAAACAGGAGCAATAACATGTTGAGAGTGTACAAACACATATACACCTTGTTAAAGTTACATAATGTCAATGCAAATATTAGTTCAATCCATCCTTGGAAATTATAGCTTTAAAATATAACAGAGGCACAAACTGTTCCTTTAACTAATCAAACATAAAGCTTCTTCCCACGATACTATGAAATCTTTAACAGTGCCCAAAATGTCATGTTAAAATTAGTAGACAGATACATGACTGACATGAAAAAAGCTAAATCTAGCTACTTGAATGTTATGATGCGGTAACATTTTTCCTATATTTAGCTTTGGGTCCCTGAGTGAGACTCACTCTTGATCATGTTGACATCGTTGGCTCCATCTCCAATAGCCAGGGTGACGGCCCTCTTGTGCCTCTTCACCAGCTCCACCACCTGGGCTTTCTGCATGGGAGTGACCCGGCAGCAGATGACAGTTTTACACAAACAGGCCAAGTCCAGCAAGACATGCTCCAGCTGTGGCTCCATGGCGTGAGCCTGCAGAGAGAACATATACATCACACCTATTAGAGCTATCATTACCAGGCTATAGCATGACCCCCTGCATTGGAAGAAACAGCTCAATGAAACATTTCCACCAAGCTGTTGTTGCACCGTGCTCTGGGCGCAGCGAGGGAGCAGCTCCTCTGAGGAAATGGATGTTAATGAAAACCTTTAATAGAGCCGAGGGCCCTCAGGAGCGCAGTAGATCATTACAGACTCAGCTCCGTCAGCAGCAGCATCAGAGAAGACAAACTCAGCAACACAACAATCATTTAACAAACGTACAGGCGTCGGCTCCAGAATAAAATCAAGCAGAGGTTATCATTGGAACAAAGGAAAATACCATATATTTAAAGAAATGTTGGTATATTACCAAACTGTGTCCATTGATGACTAAGGCGTACTCTGCAATGATGGTCTCTTCATACACAGAGCCATCTGCAAACATTTCTGCCTTCTCAACATCTCCTGCACTGCTAACTCGACTCAGGCCGAGAATCTGCTCTTTGGCACTCCTGAGGAGAGAGGAAAGCAAGTTAACAAACATTTACAGAATGTTTAAATAAAGCTTTATGAAGGCTCTAGTCTACTGAATAACAGAATTATCATAGTCCATTGGATAAAATATTACTTTTAGGTACTACATTAACAATATTTCCCACACATAACTCACCTGAGTTGCTGCTGCACCTCCAGCAGTGTGTGGCCTGAGATGACAAACACCTCATTCATGTCGTCTCGCAGCATGTGGCAGGAGTAGCCGATGTTCATCGCCGTCT